ATATATATATATATATATATATATATATATTAGGGTGTGTCATACTTTTTTTTTTTTGAATTTTGACTCACATAATTTAAAAAAGGGTGAGGTATAATATTACAAGTTTAGAACTGTCAACAAAAAAAAAAAAAAAAAAAAAAAGTTTTAGCTACCAGGGAACCAGTGACACTATTTTACCAAAAACCCTGGGGGAGGGGGAGGTATGAACTTAAAAAATTGAAGTATTTTTTTAAAAAAACTTACAAAACGCAAAAAAATGTCATCTCTATTTAAAAAACAATATAATTATTTGTATAAAAACAACTAGAGTGGTTTGCCCCCCTCCCACTACCTCCCACTAAAACTGTAAAATTAGGTTGTTTTGGAATTAAAAATAAAACTTTCATATAGATCCACAAAACATCTACTGGCACATTAAAATAAAGTACAATAAAGATTAATTCTTAAACATTGTCAAGCCAATAAGGTTTTGTTTAGATAGATTTCGTGACATCAACTTCTGTGACAACTCTTGTCCTTTAATCCAACCATCTCTTCTATCTTCTGTAAAAACATTTTCGCAAGCCTGGGTAACTTTTTTTACACATCTTTCGACAGCTTGAGTGTGGCAACACCAGTTTGGTACAATTATTGGTTTAAAAAAATACTCTTTGATGTCTTTAGTTGTCATGCAACAAGTCAAAGGTGGTTCAAAAGCTTCATTCCAATCAATAAGGTCCTTGAGACAAATTGCTTTAGTATTGATATCTGGTGTCCTTATTGGTCTAACAGATAGATCTCCAAGTTGTACATTTTCATCACCTTCTCCTCTTATTTCAAGAATTTTGTTTACACTGAAATCTCTTTCCTTTTTATTTTCAGAACAAAGCATAGTTTGAAGAATAGATTCAGAGAAGGCATACCAAGCAGATCGCTTAATAGTTGGAATGACCATATTTTGAATATCGAGTGACTGGTGTTGAAGCAACTCAAGCTGGTAAAGAACATGTTTTGGTCCTTCTGTCCAACTATATTTAACTTTGATGTTAAACCAGACAGGAAAGTACACTCCTACAATAATCTCGACTAGTTTAAGAAGGTTTTGGGCTGCATCGCCTTGAAGACCATGATGAGATACCCAAATTCTACATATTCTATTGGCTATTGTTAGCCATCTGGTCATGTTAACAGGGCCAATTTCCAGAAGTCCTAGTTGCTGAGGAACATGACCACTGCGTATAGCTTTAACTATTTGATAGCCATAATACTGATCTGTTGAAAGGTCTTTAACCACATCGTTACTCATCATTAATTAGAGGCTCACCAGTTTCCACTCTACTAAAAAAAGGGTTAATTTCAAGATTGGTTGCTTCATCAAGTAAGCTTCCAATGGGTCCACTCCATTTTGTACCGCTTTTAGATTCTCCATCTAACAATTTAATTAAACGTTTGAGTGGTAATTCATTGGTATGTAGAGCGCAGACAATCCAATTTAACTTTCGCCCTAATTTCAGCTCCATAAAGTGCATTACTCCTCCATCCCAACCAGTGTTTACATTAGTAGAGTCTCGGCCAATTGCTTTTAAATGTGTACTAATGTTTCTCATTGCAGTATACTTAATAATCTTATCTGCTATAATGTCAGCATGGTTCTTTTTTGCTTCTTTAGCTGGAGTGAAATGAAATAAATACTTACCATCACCAGAACAAACAGTGTAATGTTCTTCTTTTACTTTAGCCGGATACTGTCTGTCTGATCCATCTACAGTTAAAAATACTTTAGTAAGATCTTTTCGCCCATCAAAAAATATGCAGTCAATAATCTCTTTATTACAATAATCATCAAACTGAACAGCAACTTCATTCATGACTTTATCCCTAGCTCTCCAAACTTTAGTGTGATCTATTATTAATCTAGTGTCACTTTGGGATACAAGTCCTCATCTACCCATGCTGCAGTAGCTATGACTGCAGTTGCTCTTAAACCAACACCATATCAAATACTGGCCAATACAATATTAGAGATATCTTCATAATTTCTAGATTTTTTAAAATATTTTGTACAAGGCTTTTGAATAGAAAAAATCTCATTTTCATTAGATTTCTCTTCATAATTTTCATGTTCTTTATCTTGTTCATATTGCGTATTATTTTCTTTTTGATTAGTGTGTTTTTTTTCTCTCATTTGTTTTTCTTCTTCTCTTCTTCGTTTGCAACTTTGTACTTTTTTGAATTTTTTGGACTCCGTCAAATCAGCAGGCCCAAGTTGATATGAACTTAAAAATCCAATCTTTTCTCGTTGGGCTAAAAAAATGTGACAACAATTTGCTTACAACCAGACAAATTAAAATAAAATTTTCTTTTTAAAATAATCTAAGAAATCAGTATAGTATAATAAAATTTGGTTTTCTGCATTACTAACACTTTTATAGTGACTTTCATATATCACTCATACCTTTTATATAAACCAGTTCATTTATTGGTATTTTTCTCTCCCTAGGACATATGCAGGTAATTTGGGCACCAACTTTACATTCAGTAGAACAGCATTGCTCAGAACAAAGAGATATTTTACAGTTACACTCCACCAAATCAAATAGTTTGTCAATAATTAAATTAAACTTTTGTTTTATAAATTTACTTGCTCTATTTTGAGAAATCAGGTTAGCTTTGTTCCATGTAACTTTAAGTCTTGTTACCAAATTATGTTTTAAACTAATTACGGGAGGCACAAATAAAACACTGGCCATTTGCCATTTTTCTGAAAGTTTATTATAATTATCCTGGATCAAATCAGAATTACTATAGATTCTTCTGTTTAGTTTGCTTGTTTCTCTTAAAAAAATACCATATCTTTTCCAGATTCCAAATATTGGCGTAGACAAGAATCATTTCTCCATCTTGTTCCAGCAGCCATTTTAAATTTAATTATACTTTGTATCTAATAATTTTGAAAATTATATATATATATATATATATATATATATATATATATATATATATATATATATATATATATATGTATAACTTGCATAACAAATATTAAAACAAAAACTTTAGAATGATGTTTTCTGTGTAGCCATTTAGAACCATCAATTAAAATGTATAACTTAAATTACATACAAAACTGGCACTAATTTACATCTCTACCCCCTATTTTTATGTTTGATTATGAGAACTTTATGCTGATTAAGAATCGTATAAAAACATAGCTCTGAAAACTAAAGCAAAGTACTCTAATTAGATCTTGAAGTTTAAAATATTACACAAAAAACGCTAATATTCGCTATCTTTTTTTAATGTAACTAAACACTTTTTTATAAATCTTATTTTTAATTATGCAACCCGGTTTTTTTTTTCATTGATACTAAAATTTACATAGTTTAAAAAAAAATACAATTATTAATTATAATTAAAAAATAAACTTTTTTTTTTTACATAAATTATTCTTTATATTTAAAAAATTAATTAAACTTTTAAAGGTAATGTTGCAGAGTAGTGGCGTAAAGTTCTGTTTGTTAACTTTTGCCCTTAGTTACTGATTTAGGGATAGGCGAGGGCTTCACTACATACATCGACTGATTTAGGGAGAACTTGCAAGAGAGTTGATAACACATCGAAGGGTCAGGGTTGGGGCAGGTATCAATTTATATCATTATTCTTCCTTGAAGCCCTTGCCTATCTCTAAATCAGTAGCTACTAAAAAACAGTTTCGTTTTTTGTTGACAATAAAAACCAGGTTGTTTATGTTATTTTCAAAGTTTACTTTTGAATGAATTTTAATCATAACAGAGTACAAAAAAGATGGTGAATAATAGCGTTTTTAGTGTAATTTTTAAACTTCAAGATCAAATTAAAGTACTTTGCTTCAATTTTTAGAGCTATGTTTTTATACGATTCTTAATCAGCATAAAATTTTCTATCATAATCAAAAATAAAAATAGGGGGTAAGAGATGTAAATTAACGCCACAAAACTTTGAAAAAATAATAATTTTTAAGTATTCATAAAAATTTCTGAAACAGTATAACTATTAAATGAATTTTACTTATCCTGCTTTCTTATCTTCCTTTCCTTATTCCTAATTTCTTAAGATAAGGTTGTTGCAAAACAGATATAAGTCTAAAATATTGAAAATGACCCTGAAAGTATAATCAAAAATTCACACTTTTTGGCAATTTTCAAGGCAGTTCCATGGTAGCTTAAACTCATTTAAATTCAAATTTTTTGATATTTCTGAATTTCATATGTTAAACCTCACCCTTTTTTAAAAAATGCCACTGGTAAATATGAATTTTTGAGTTTTGACTAAAGTATGACACACCCTAATATATATATATATATATATATATATATATATATATATATATATATATATATATATATATATATATATATATATATATATATATATATATATATATATATATATATATAGAGAGAGAGAGAGAGAGAGAGAGAGAGAGAGAGAGAGAGAGAGAGAGAGAGAGAGAGAGAGAGAGAGAGAGAAAGAGAAAGAGAGAGAGAAATATAGATAGACAAAGTAATAAAAAAATTTATATTTAAAATAAAAACTTTATTTGTATAGAAATATAAAGAAAAAATAAAAATATAAAAAATAAGTCAATAAATTTGTTATTTTGGGAATTTGTAAAAAAGTAATGAGCTTGATATGAACATTTAGAGTGTTGAGCTGCAGTGCTTTGTTGCACTGTTACTTTCTGAAATTTTTTATTACGTATTAATTACAATAATTTATTGTTGAAAATAGTGTTTGTTAATATTTTCATAGTGATCCGTATTCACACATTATGTTTCTTTTATTTCTTTGATTAGCTATGTTGCTTAAACTACGTTTTGCCACACAGATGTTGTTTTAAGTTTTTGTATTAATATGTCTTTGGTTGATATTAGCATGTTGTGTGAATATGTCTTCTGTTCTATAAACATATAACAATGATTTTTAATTATATTTTCAATGCAGACAAAAGTGAGAAAAGTGTTGCTTTAATTTTTTAGAGTTATAGTGAGCGCTACTCAGAACCTGTTAAATATGAAAATGAAACTAATTCTAAAAGGGAAACTATACCTTACCATGACAAGCTTGCAACAAATAGAACAACTCGGTCATCTAGGAAAGAACGAGAAGTTATAACTGCTCAACAATGCTTGGGTCCAGGCTGTGTGAACTCAGCTCGTAATAGTTCAAAGTATTGCAGCAGTGAGTGTGGTATTCAGCTGCAAATACGGTTAGACTTGTTTTATATACGACTACAAAAGTAATAACACTCTAATCACTGTGTTATAAAAGTATGAACAATATAATAGTGTTATTACTTTTTAAACTTATAACTTAGATTTATAATTTATTGTTTGTTGATACAACACTTAATCAAGATATCATAAATAAAAGTGATTTAGATAAGTAATCCCAAGTTTTAATTGAGAGAGAAATGTATCTATAAAAAAAAATAGAATGCATATTTAAGTAATTTTAAAACTTCAGAAACTTTTTGTATACGTAATTTTCTAAACAGTTTAGCATTTCTAAATTATTACTAACAGTTTGGAAAAACATGCGTTTATTTTAAAATGAACCAAAGGAGGAAAATACAACTTGAAATGTTTAAATGTTTTTAATTAATTAATCAATTTGTCAATAATGAAAGTATATAAAATATTTTCATCGCTAGAGAGTTATGAGCATTTCAACAAAAATAATTTTTTTATTTTGTTTTTTAAATCAATATTATACTTATTTAAATCAAAAGCTTTAGCATTTCTAAACTATTACAAACGGTTTGGAAAAACATGCATTTATTTATATAATTTAAAAAATATATATAAAAGAGAGCGTTTAAAAGTAAAGTACAGAAGAAGAAAATATATATCAAGAAAAAATAAAATAAAAAATTATACATCAGAGTTTGACTATCGCTTTCTCTTTCTAAATCAGATATTGTTAATACAGATAGATCAATGGGAGGTTTTGTGTCAGCAAATTTTCTTCGTTTTTCTGGATAGCAAGAGGTGAAGCATTAAGTCTTCTTATTTTATTGTTATATCAAGAGCAGGGTTTGGGTCAAATTTATTTAAGTGTATCCTTCTCCTGTTCGTATAAGATATTCAAGCCAGTCACATGATGAATTTATTTTTCCAAACAGACTTTACTCGATTAATGCAGAAAACATGCGCTCAACTTAAGTGTTTGTAAATGGTCCAAATTTGAAAGTTTGTTAAAATGTATCACTATTTCCAAATTTTAAAAGATTGTTAAAATGTATCACTATTTCTGCTGTTTCATTATCTCCATATGTGCTATCAGGGTCAACAGGCCAAGATTATATGTCAAGCAGAAAAATTAAATTTTGAAATAACAGAGAATAAATTATATCTTTAAAATGCTAATCCATACAAGTTGTAATACTAGTTATAGTATCACTATAAGTTTTATAATACATTGTTTTTACTAACAAAATTACCATCCTTTTAAATTATGTTACCAATCAATTTTTTGTAATTGGTTAAAATTGATTGCTCTGTATTCATTTTGTCCACAATATTATTCAAAATAATTCAAAATTTTGCAATTGTACAATTAAATTGCTGTACCCTGCGGACTGCTTTGACTGGATCATGTAAATCTTGCAGAAAGGCATTGCTTAAGTGTCTTAAGCTAGAACGTCTAAAAAAACAGATATATGAATGACAAGAGAGGCTTTTTTCCATAATCAAAGAAACCCCTTTAATTCAGCTTGTTTATGGGGGCTGAGAATCTGTTTGGCTGAGAGATTCTATATGCAATATATATGCACCATAGTTTTCTAAAGCAAGATTCAATGCGTTCCATTTATGGTCTAGCTAACATGTACCATATGATTTCACGGGTTTGGGAACTGATGTTTCCCAAGCTTCCGATATAAGTTTTAATTCTCTTAAACGCTTTGGAGTTCATAAAGAAAATGTAAATTGAACAAGGTTTTGCAATTTTCAAATGCTGCAGTTTTTTCAAAAATATTTTTTAGAGCAAGTTCAAGACGATGGTTAAAACAATGGATTACTTGAAGCCATGGAGAGTCTAACTTCAATAAACCTCCTAAACCAGAGTTAATACCCAAACAGTTTTTTGGACATAACAAGTATATCAACTCTCTCAAATTATTGTTTAAGGCAGTTTTTTAAAACACTAGCATTAGCATTGTCAGCGTTTTTAACTGACAAAAGTTTAACACATAGACTACCCTCACTCAAATACCATAGACTAAAACACATAGACTAACTCTTGTTCAATTGTAGCACTATCGCAACTGCCCTCACTTAATAAAGAATAATATCTTGCTTTTATAAATTTTTCTTTCACCAATGTAATCTGTGAAAATACCAGCGGCTTTGTTATTAGCATAACTATCTCCAAGATTTTGAACACCATTTTTTTTTAAATAGCTCCAATAAATCAGGGAAATCAGTGAATGGGTCTTCTTTTTTGACCAAGTAATAAACTGTGTTAAATTTCTTTCGGAGTGAGTCGCGATCTTTTTCAATCATTTTTCATAGACCCTTATTAGTAACAGTGTTTCACCCACATTTTTTTTGTCGTCAACCAAACTTCACCAATAGTGAATAAGATGTGTCTCTTTATGTTGAAAACCATTACATTGACTTGTCACACTGTCTTTTTTAATGGTTGGAGTTCCAGGGCAATAGAAAATATTTTATTGTTTTTAACTTGAGCTTCATATTGTTTGCACAAAGAACATCGCAACCTCACAACATTGGTGTAATTAAATAATGTAATTAAATAATTCTTGCGGTAACTCCTACATATTCCGCTATACAACTCCTACATATATTCTGTAACCAGAGCATAATAATGATATAATATATATATATATATATATATATATATATATATATATATATATATATATATATATATATATATATATATACATAAAAATATATACATAAAAATATATACTCATTAAATGGTTATTACTTGGTAGCACTGAATATATTTTTTTATCTTTACTTTTATTGTTAACTAATTAATTAATTAAAAACATTTTAAAAAAATTTCAAGTTGTAGTCCTCCTGATAGATAAATTTACATTACTTTGATGGGTTGATTTAAAAAAAAAAATGCATTTTTCCGGACCATTAGTAATAGGTTAGAAATGCTAAATTGTTTAGAAAAGTACGTATACAAAAAGTTTCTGAAGTTTTAAAATTACTTAAATATGCATTTTATTTTTTTTAGATACATTTCTACCTCAATTAAAACTTGGGATTACCTATCTAAATCACTTTTATTTATGATATCTTGATTAAGTGTTGTATAAACAAACAATAAAATATAAATGTAAGTTATAAGTTAAAAAACTAATAACACTATTATCCTGTTTATACTTTTATAACACAGTTAGTGATTATAGTGTTATTACTTTGGTAGTCATAAGTTTATTGTTTTCTTTTTGTTTTATATAACTTTTTTGCTAAGTTAATTCGCCTATAAAAACAAAGTTTATGGTCTTGCTTAAACTATGACTTTGAAGACCAGTTTTTTTACAGATATTGTGTTTGGCAATCGCTTAATTCAACCCTTGTATATATATATATATATATATATATATATATATATATATATATATATATATATATATATATATATATATATATATATATATTTATATATCTATATACACACACCAGGGCTCAAATTAAGCGTATCGCGATACGCTTAATTCGCGATTGGTTTACTTTTTTAGTTGTTTATTTACTATTTTTCTAATTTAGCTTTTTTTTGGACAAATGTCAAAAACTTTGCGTGACAACGTCACGCAAAGTTTGTCTTGAATTTCTATTCACGATGCAGATCAGATCTTGCGCGCATGATCTTGCTGTTTCGCGCAGAGATTTCAATTCAACGTAAAATATTTTTTAAATTAAATTACTTTAAATCTTTGCGTAGAAGCAAATTAAAAAGTCAAAAGTTAAAAAGAATTTTTTCTTCATTCTATTTTTTTTAACAAAACATTTTTATCTTTTTTTAAAAAAAACGTTGCTCCAAATTAACTTATTAATAATGAATTAAATTATTATTTTATAAACAATTTTATATAATTATTTTTAATACTTTAAGTATAATCAAATATATATTAATTCGTTTTTATTAAATAAAATTTCTATTAGTAAAATTGTACTAATAGAAACCAGCAACTTTTTTAATTTCACGTTTTTCGTGAAAAAGCAATTATATTAATTTATTTAATATACTCGCAAAAGTTAGCCATAGACATGTTTTAAATTAGATCTTACATGTTGTTAACACATAAAAGCTTTTAACTAATAATTATTTTAACAAAAATTGTTGAAAAGAATATGAAAAGCGCGAAACAATTTTTTTATATTTTCATTTTATTTATAGTGACATCTAGGCAAAACATTTTCTATAAATACGCAAGTTGTTTTCGGGAATTTTATTTAAAAAGAAATCTATTTGAACAAGAGAACTTTAGCCTTAAAATTCACTTATTATATATTTTTTCTTGAAAATAGTTTTAAAAGTAGAAACATTCTATTGCTAACATCAAATCAGTGATTGCAAATTGCAAGTTGAAAAAAAAATTTAAATTAAATCAACACAAAACAGCGTCACGAATCTGTTTTACATTAACCCAGGCTATTTATATTTTTAAAACAACTTTGAAGTTTGTTTTAAGCTTTTATAGTTTTTAACAATTAAAATTAACACGTGTTTTAACGTCAGCATGAATGTATTAAATAGTTTTCTTTGACTAATTAAAGTGGTTTAGATATTGTAATGTTGCTTTTTCTCTTACTTTTTTACTTTTATTTTTTTAAGTATCATGTTAACTAAAAATATACTTAAAGAAATATCTCAATAGTATTAAAAACGTTATTGCTTATTACAACTGTAATAAGCAATAACGTTTTTAATACTGTTAAGGTATTTAAATAATATATATATTATTTAAATATCTTAATAGTATTAAAAACTATTAGTATATATAATACTATTAAGATATAATAATAACTTAAACTTCAAGTTATAACTAAAGTTGTAAATAATAACAGTAACTTACGCTATTTTAAACTCTGCCAAACAAGAAAATTATAAGATTATATTTAAATATGAGAGATAGTATGTTAAAAATAGAACAATTACGTACAAAAGTTACAATTATATACTAACGCACCTTCCCCCCCCCTCCCATCACCCTAAAGCGGCGCAAGGTATAAAAGGGGGGAGGGGGGTTGTGAGTTTTTTTTTTTTTTTAGCAATTAGATTTTTTTGCGTTAATTCGAGCCCTGTATTCATATATACATATATACATACATAGGTATATATATATATATATATATATATATATATATATATATATATATATATATATATATATATATATATATATATATATACATATCCTTATAGTGTAGTCGAAAGAGACTTTTATGGTTAAAAAAGTCTCTTTCGACTACAATTTTTTTACCTTGTCTCTTAAGCTGTATTTTATTGTCGTTGAAATGTCAAAGCAATTAAATTATAAAAATGCGGAAGTACATTAAATTTTATTGTTTTTTAAAAAAACTGCAATAATAATGACTAGAAAGGTTTTTTTAATTAGTGGTGTTTTTGTTTTTGTTTTATTAAAAAACATTTTTAAAACATGTGTAAGTGTTGCTACATCGACTATCTTATAGCCTGACTCGCAACGGAGTGCTGCTACATCGACTGACAAATAGCCTGACTCGCAAGGGAGTGCTGCTACATCAACTGAGGGTTTGGTTTGGGCAGGCAGTCTATTATTTGAAAAAAAAAAAAATTTTTTTGAAGTTTTTCAACATTTTCTGGTCAGGCTTATTAGCACGCTCTTTAAAACAACAGTTTATAGGAAAAACTTTGTGACTACCATGCAAGACTATATATATATATATATATATATATATATATATATATATATATATATATATATATATATATATATATATATATATATATATATATATATATATATATATATATATATATATATATATATATATATATACATATATACATATATATATATATATATATATATATATATATATATATATATATATATATATATATATATATATATATATATATATATATATATATATATATATATATATATATATATATATATATATATATATATATATATATATATATATATATATATAAGGTTTTGAAACATATCACATGAAATTCAAAAAACTTAACCAGAGTGTGAATTTGCTCAAAACATCTTGAGTGAATTTGATATTAGTTTTGTAAAATAAATAACTTATTGTTGTTGTTTAATGTTATATAATGTAACTGGCTAATATAGCTTTTATAGATATATAACAAAGGTTGAATTAAATGATTGCGAAATAAAAAATCCAGAAAAATATCTGGTCTTCAAAATTTTAGTTTATGCAAAACCTTGTTCTTTTTTTTAAGTGGCAAATCAATTTAGATTTGTTAGCAAAAAATTTGTAAAAAGTAAAATAAACTTATGACCTCAAAATTAATTACACTTGAGTAACTAACTGCAACTAATTATAACATTGTAACACTATAATAGTGTTATTACTTTTATAAAGCACTTATAACTGTTATAATTCATTCTTTGTTCAAACAATATAAGTAATCCCAAATTTTAATTGAAGTAGAAAATCATCTAGAAAAAGTAAAGTGGATATTTAAATAATATTTAAAACCTATTAAGAAACTTAAACAACTTTATAAAAACATACTGTATAAAAAGTTTAGCATTATGAAAAATGTTACTAATGGTCCATAAAAACGCGTATTAATTTTAAAATCAACCAATAAAAGCTTTTTATTGGTTAAAAAATATTAACGCACATTTTTTATGGACTATTATTATTATGGAAATTATTTTTACTTTGAATAAAGTTTGGAATTACTAATGTTATTTGAACAAATAATGAACTTTAAGAGTTATGAGTGCTTTATAAATATAATAACACTATTATAGTTTTATTACTTTTATAATGCAGTTAGTGACTAGAGTGTTATTACTTTTGTAGTCATAAGTTTATTGTTTTTGTTTTTATTTACTTTTTTGCTAATAAACTTATAATAATTTGCTCCTTGAAAACAACACTAGTTTGCATAAACTAAAATTTTGTAGACCAAATATATTTCCAAACTTTGCAAATTGCGATTGTTTAATTCAACCCTTGTATAAAAATTTCAGAAATTTACTTCAAAAATTATTATCATCACTAATAAAGTAGAAACCTTTTTTTTTTTTTCATCTTTTTTTTTATCTGAAAATTTGTCTGGTTTTTAAAATTAATAATTTATATGTTTTTTTGTAATAATGATCTAATTCCATCTTTTTGTTCAATGGTAGATTACATTTTTAAACATTATGTTGAATTAAGAATTTTTTTTCAGTTTCATTAGAATTTTTTTTATTTTCTTTTAAGTCGACTTCAAGTTATTTTACCTACCAGAATGAAAAGTCTACAAAAAGGATACCACTCAACACAACTTGCAAATGAGGAAATTAAAAAGCTTCGATTAATTCAAAAAGTAATATTTATTTTTAAAAAAACAAAATAAGATATATAGAGTCAGTAAAAAAAATTGAAGTCAGTAAAAACAGTTATTATGTTATAGTTGCAAAAATAATAAAAGTAACATTTTAAATATATTTTGTTATTTTATCAAATGCTGGCTTAGATCTAATTTTGTTTTACATTGTTTTTTCAGATGCCAATATTATTGTAACGTGCTTTTATGAAATAAATGAAAAAATGTTTAATTCTTACCCCTCTGGGCGTATACTTAAGCATCAATTCACCTATTAATAAAATCAGGTTTGAGTCCTCTTATCATTCTTTTTTGTGCTTGGCACATAAAAGAATAGTCAGAGGATTCAAACCTGATTAGCAACTCAGATAGTTAACTTGGTAACTTATTTTCCAGATATTCCTAATTCTTTTCTCCTTGATTTTTGTCTTGTCTCTGATCCTAGCTTGAATTCAGTTTCTCCTTGTTCTTCTTCATGGCAGTTCTTGAGTTGATGTTTTTTGTCTCTGCTGATAAATCCATACGTAATACAAATTCTACATTGCCTGGAAACAGGCAAGTATAGAAGCTTTTTTTTTTCTCATGGGTTAAAAGTCAAACCTCATTCTAGTCCATGGTTTTCACCTTCTTGTGCAGCTGCTACATTTAATTGTAATCATTCCTTATCTTTTCATCTTTTTTAAAAGAACATTTCTCTTAAAAACAAACACCTTTTTGTTATTGCAAGAAGTCAATGTAAAAAGATGCTGTCTGATGTTTAGCTCCATTATTCCCAGTTTACTAAATTGTGTACCTTATCTCAAAAGTTGGGGTTTAGAGACCTTTTGAAAACCTTAAGCAGTGTCATTATCAAAGGTCGAACCATCTCTAATTTGTGCACCTGATCTTGTTACCTCTCCCAAGGATAAGGTAGAGCTATTTGCTAGAACTTTTTTTTCAAATTCGACTCTTCCTGCCATTCTAGTTGGACAAGCTAACCAATTGTTAGGCATCTAAATTCTTCCGGTTTCCATTGCTCAATTTATTTCTCAATTAAATTCTTCTCTGGCTTCTGGTTCAGGCTTTTCCTGTCATAGTTAGTGTTTTTCGGTTCTGGGTACTCGGATGCAGCAAGTCTGTGAGTAAATACCCGGATTTGATACCTGGTTTAAAACCCGGCGAGTCTCATGTTTTGACTGTTTGGCCTTGTTTTGTATACAGCGTTGTCGCAAACCCTACAGTAGTAGGGTTTGTGAATTCTTGACCTATCTAGGTTGAAACTTAAACTTGAACTTGACCACGGCTTTTTAGATGCTTGAGAACATTCAAGTTTATATATGTTTCCATATATATCCAAATACACATAACTTAAATTTTTTTCTAATAAAATGTTTTTATATAAGAAATTGTTTTAAAAGCATTTGCTAATATAAAAACTTTTGATTAGAAAAGTTAATAAGTTAACTCTTTTAGCACTTATTTAAAAAACTTTTAAAAAATCAGGAAAAAAGTGAAACATAATTTTAATATGACATTTTATACAGCCCTGAAGAATTCAAAAGTGTGGTACTATTTCACCCAATGTACCAATTTGAAAAGTGGTAAATGCAATAAGTGTTCAACGATGATATCCAACAAAGATGGAAATACTTCATCAATGATTAAACATTTAAAAGTTAAACATGAAATTTCGTTATCAACACGAAAAGAAGTAGAAGAAAATTCTACCACTAAATGATTTAAAACTATAAACACTTTCGCTTCTGTTGCAAGAAAGCTTTCAGAAGAAATTGTCACAAAATGGGCGCTCTTGGTGGTATATCAGCTAGGGCGATTACAAAGTCTAACTTTATTTGTGATAATTTAGTAAAATCAAGTTATAATCTTCCTAAAGCTTAAAGAGATGTTATGAGTTTAATTCATAAATTTTGTGAAAAAAAGAAGTTGGATATATTAGAATTGTTACAAGAAAAAATTAAAGAAGGTTGACAATTTAGCATTACACTTGATGAATGAACAAATATGAAAATTCAGAAATATGTAAATATCAATTTGCATGGAATTGACTCTGAAGTGTATAATCTGGGTTTAGTGAAAATTTCTAACTCGTGTACAGCTGTACAATTGAAAAAGTAGAACAACATTTAAATATTAATTTTTAAAAACATATAGTTGGTTTTACCGGCAATGGTGCAATTGTAATGATAAAATTTGGATATAAATCTCTTAGTCTCCATAATTTGTGTTTGAATCACACTATACACTTAGCTGTTTGCGCTGTATTATATAAAAAGAAAATATTGCCATCTTGCAAGATGAAGGTGATATTGATGGTTATGGTGATGACCATGGTCAAGATATTATTGATGATGATCAAGATGAAAATTATTATTCTGACAAGAACGGCTATGACATCGAAGAGTACGAACATGTTGAATTAACAAATTTAGGAAATGTAGAAGAAAATATAAAAATTGTTTGTCTAATTTGTTGATGATCAAGATAAAAGTTATTATTCTGATGAGAGCTGCGATGATGAAGAAGAGTACGAACATGATGAATTAACAAATTTAGAAAATGTAGAAAATATAAAAAGTGTTTGTCTAATTGTTAAATTTTTTAAAATTTCTTCTGTGCGAAATAATATTTTGCAAGAAAAGATCAAAATAGTTTCAGGAAATGAACTTCAGCTAGTGTAAGAAGTAAGAACTGGTTAGAACTCATTGCTCGAAATATCGAAATATCGAAAGATGATATCTAGATTTTATATCATTTATATTATTTTATATCATTAAAGAAGCTTTTCAAGATATTGAAAGTGTACATTTAACAGAAAATATTAATATTGAATTATTACATGAATTGGAAAATAAGCTTAAGCCTATTAAATTAAATTTTAAAGCTCTTAACAGAGACAATGCTAATCTTGCAACACCTTATTTAGCATTTGATTTTATGTTAAGAAAATTAAAAGAATCCAATGGTAATTTAAGTAGAGAGCTATTAATGATGATGAAAACTTGGATTAATAGCTGTAAAAACCGAGAATTAGAAGAGCTATTAGATTCTTTTGTAAATAGTACTATGCCTTTAAAGAAAATACAATTATTTACAACAGATTTATTAAAAAGATTGTTTGATGGGGATGACGAACATCAAAACACATAATGAACAGAAACATTCAAGTAAAAATAATGAAAATATTACAGGAAACGCACAAGCATTAACACTAGAAGAAGAATTACATATAAGTTAAAAAGACGCAGGCTCAGCTCAAACTTACGGATCTTAAAAGGCTGGGTTTTCACAAACCCTAATAATAATCTTACAAAGTGTTCTCTAGAGCTCTCTTGAATCCTCTCAAAACTAATTAATAAGTGAGTGAATCTTGTTTTTCTGCTTGCTGGAAAATGGCATCTGTAATTTCAATTTTTAAAAACTAAAGAATATTCTGACCCCGCCAACTATTTTCTGATCAGTCATCTATCTGTTATTAGCAGGGTCTTTAAGTTTTTCATCAACATATTTTTAACATCCCATCTTGAGTCAAGTAACAATTTTGAGATTCTTAAATCTTTTTTTTTTTCAGCAAGTTTTTCACCTGCATTTTAGACATTTTTGTGAGTAGATAAGCAGGTTTACTATTATCAAACTGTGTTAGGATAGTTACTTATCACACTTTTAATAAAGTATTTTCAATTAACCCATATTAAGAACATAATGAACAAAAAAATTTATATTGCATAAAAAAACATAAAAAAAAATTTTCAAAGGTTTTTTAATGTCATCAATTTTTAAAAAAAGAAACTTTTTGTCATTGATTAAAATGTAGATCAATGTACAAAAAACTTCTTTTTTTATAAACTATGTTCAAAAAATTGGTATTTTTAGGAACCTGTTAAATTTTTAATGGTCTTCAGCAACCCCTGAGAATTTTTTTTGCACTTTTTTTTTTTTTACATTCTTTAATACTTTTTTGCAATTTGCGAAATCCACTATTATTTTATTATTTAGAACATAATGGTATTAGATTATTTTTGTATTTAAACTAAATTTATTTATTATTATTCTAAAGATATTTTAAAGTTATCTTACTATTTAATTTATTGCTTTGGTTACCATGTAATTTTCAAAACAAGTTATTTGTTTGACAGTTTTTTACTTTTAGAAATGCCAAGATGAACTTGTTGAACTAGACAAACTGTGTCATGATTTGGAAAATTTACAGGAGAAATCCAAAGGTTTGAGTATACAGGAGGAGGAGGTTCTGATTTTTGTTAGGAAATTGATTTAATATTAACTTTGAAACATTTAGTAAATAATTAAACTCACTACAATAGGAAAATGACGAAGAGCGTGATACCGATCTTGATCTCACTATGTACTGTGTTACATGTGGAGTAGCATTGGCACCAAGGATAGCTTTTAAACATATGGAAAAATGTTGGGCCAAAGTATGTACTATAATTTTAGTTTCATTCAAAAAAAATTCTTGTACAATTACAATTATTTTTACATTAACATTATTTTAATTTTAGTTTTGTTTTTAGTTATTGGGTTGTAAAATCGCATTAAATTTTTAATGATATATATATATATATATATATGTGTGTGTGTGTGTGTGTGTGTGTGTGTGTGTGTGTGTATGTATGTGTGTGTGTGTGTGTGTGTGTATGTATATATATATATATATATATATATATATATATATATATATATATATATATACATATACATATATATATATATATATATATATGTATATATATATATATATATATATATATATGTATATATATATATATATGTATATATATATATATATATATGTATATATATATATATATATATATATATATATATATATATATATACATATATACATATATATATATATATATATATATATATATATATATATATATATATATATATATATATATATATATATATATATATATATATATATATATATATATATATATATGTATGTATGTATATATATATATATATATGTGTATATATATATATATATATATATATATATATATATATATATAACCCTCAGAATTAGGCAATGCCGACCTAACTGCCGACTTAAAAGTGTTTGAGGTCAGCAAAAAAAATCCAACCTTGATTTTATGTTTTATGGTCAAACCTTTGTTTTACATTTCTGCTGACCTGATTTACATTCCTGCCAACCTGATGCCGACCTCACACAGATTAAGCTTGGCAAATTATTGCTGACCTTATTTATCCTAATTTCGAGGGCTGTATATATATATATATATATATATATATATATATATATATATATATATATATATATATATATATATATATATATATATACATAATACAGTGCTTTCAAAAAAATAGGCGCTGTAAAATATTGAGTTCATTTTCTTTTTAAAACATCATATAAACCCATCCATATTTACTAAAGACTTATTTTTTTTTTGTTTATTATTTTTCTACAACTAACATGTTAATAACAGGTTCACTTTTTTTAATAATTTACTTTTTTAAAGAAATATGGAAAACATACCGGAAAAAATTTCAAGAAAGAAAAAGGCGCACAAACTCTTTAATTGATTTCCTTCCTACTTTTTTCTCAACCTAATTGTTGTTCATAATTATTTTATTAATTTATATGTCTGTTTGACAATTTCTTATAACATGTTTTTATGCATCTATTAAAATACCAATGTTGATGGCTAGAGACCAGCTCACAAAATGAAGTTGGTGAAAAGAGAGAACTGGGTGGGTTTTTGAGAAATGGAAGCAAACAATTTTTAGTGATTTAAATAACTTCAAAGTAATAAATAGAAAAATCAAAGTTCTTATTAAAATGTTTAAATTGGAAAAGTATAGTAATCATTTTGTTGTACCGAGGTCACAGGGTGGTGGCAGGAGTATTGGTATTTAGGGCTGCTTTTATTTTAGTAAAGTGGGTGTGTGAAACAATTATACAGGTCAAATCATCCAGCATACATATATAGTAGGGTACAGCGAAATTTTTTTTTTTTTTAAAAGCTTAAGAAAAGGTGTATTATGTAAAATCAAATTTTTAAGAGAAAAAAACTAGTAAAATCTAATTTGTCACATTGTATTTTACATTTTCTTTTTGTCCTTCATTGTATTTTAATTGTCCCTCATTGTGTTTTACATTTTCTTTTTCATTGCGATAAAATATTAAATGCAAATAATATTTTTAGATTGTTGAAAGTTTTTTTGACTTTTTAAAATCATTATCTTGCATGGATCCTATCTGCAGTGCAGATTCTGCATTTTTTAGAGGGAGGAGGGGGTCTTCAATTTTTTATAAGGCTCTAATGATTAAAAAATTTGATCATAACAGTTCATTATAATTTCACCAAAAAATCTTACCCCAACAAGAACGGCGATGTACTACTAAAACACTATTAAAAAACAAATAAAATAAAAACCTATTGAAGTTAAAAATTTAATAAAATTTTTTTCTTTGTTTTAAAAACAGGTAGCAACTCTCTATGTTGAGCGAACAAGTAAAAACAGTTTCTTGTACAACACCATTTTTCCATTTAACTAGCTCTTGAAGAGTAGTTGCTGCAAAGTTAAGTTTAGGTGTTTTTCTTGGTCTGATTCGCATACCTCCAAGGATATCATTGCCCCTTAGTTTCAAAATTTGATTTACTGCAAAATTGCGATCTTCTGCATTATTACTAGATAATAAAGAGATTAGTATACTTCATGGTTCGCATACCAAGCTCCTAACTGGATGTAGGGAGTCACTATTTCTTTTACTTTATCAGGTTGTATTCTAAGAATTCTCAATTGAAACAGAATGTGATAGGAAGCATCTTCAAGTCTGTCTTTGACCTTTATGTCAAAAAAACGTTTAAAGTAAAATTGTAAACAAAGTACAACAAGTGACTATATGTTTTGCGAATTTTGATCATTTAAGTCGTGTTTCCTTGTCCACATAAAAACTATTCTCATGCCAGTAGTGAGCCATCTGGCATGACTTAAGGGACCACATTGAATTTCTCTAAGATTAGGTGGCAATATACCAATCTTTACTGCTTTACATAGCTTGTAACTGCTTTACATAGCTTGTTTCTGATCTGTTGACATATTTTTAATATTGTTTCTGGAATATTAACAAAGCTCTCTCCATTTGGAAGTGCTTTAAATTGAAGATTGCACTCCATTTTATTAACATCAGAAAGAAGTTTTACCATAGGACCTACAAGTCCAGTACTACATGATGTTGGTCCATCAATGCCTTCTATAAGGTGACGCAAAAATAATTCATTCGAATGAAGCATGCATATGGCCCAGTGGCACTTGTGACCTAACAACATTTCAAGATGTGTTTTAGCACTACCTTTCCAGCCTGTGTTAATTCAAGTACTGTCAGCTCCAAGTACTAAACATGATTCAGTAAGATTATGTTGTTGCAGCAAAATATAAACACCTTCAGCAAACTTTTTTCAACTAAATTATCTAGATGATTAAGTGCATTTGGAGTAAAATGGCCAAGATATTGACCACCAGGTTCTATAGTCACAGTAAAATGTTGCTCTTTGATAATAATAGGATGTAGCTGTCCATTTGAATCATTTATCATTGCTCTTGTTGACATTTTTTCTTCCGTCAAAGCAGATGGCAATATTATCTGCTTTTGGAAGTTTTAAATTATCATATTTCTTTGCAACTACCATGACCTTTTTTCTTGCTCTGGTCAACTTATAAGGATCACAAGCAAGGTAAAAGGACTTAGGTGTGAGAAATCCTGCTTCAATTAAATCTTGAAGATAACTTGTAGCAATTGCTGCAGTTGCGGTAGATGAAATCACAAACCTATATAATAAGAATGGTTTATATTTATTTCTATTTAACTCATGTTGCTGCTCAACAAAACTATAGTCAATATATTTACCTTATACTAGCCATAGCTAAGTTTTTTATTGATATTTTATTATATCTTGACTTCTATTCTAAAATCCATGTTACAAGGAAAGCATAGACACCTAACTTTTCCTTTAGCAGCCTTTCAACCAACACCTTAATTTCATTTTCTTGTTTTAAAGTTAAGTTAACATTATCTGGATTATAGTTTTCATCGAGAAAGCCAGGAAAAATATTTTTTTGAAATTCTTTATCCATATCTATATCTTTTTCTTCTGTGACCTTTTTTAGAATAATTTTATTAGAGTAAATACAGGTGCAATTTATATGTGCTTTATTTTTACAATTTTTGGGGGAATAACACCCAGACAGATCATACTCGCATAGAAGTATTGTTTGAGGACATGTTATGAGGTCCATTAGTTTATCTAACTTCAATACAGCTCTTCTTTTACTTTTACCTTAGTTCTTCCCCATGCAACGTTTTCTAATTTCTCCTAAAGTGTTTTTATTCTATAATAAAGCGATTTCTCCCCAATAATAACTGGTTGTTGAAATAACATATTTGCTTTTTTCCATTGAGCAAGAACAAGTGGAATTAGGTCGCTAGCAAGATCTTTATTAGAATATTTATTTTGGTGTAAATTGCATGTTATGTTTTTTTGTTCTTTTAATAAAATTCCTTTTTGAATAACTGCTCTGTTAGCTTACTAGGAATAAAATCTTTTCCAGGTCCAATAAACTCAGAAATTCTAGTGGTGGATGAACATCTAGTCTTAACTTTTAACATTTCGGAATAACTCGATGACAACGCATAAAATATTTACAGACTACGATCTTGTTATGATGTTTTTTACGGCAGAGAACTTAGTAAGAATTTCTTTAAAAATTGATTTGGCACTGCGCTTATTATGAAAGACTAAACATAAAACCGGATTAAATTTACTTTATAATAATTTGAGTATATTTCATTTTAATGTCTAAATATGAAAATTTGGGTATCAAAATGTTTTCTAATCAAAAAGTTGTCTATAGCAAACCTACCTTAAAATTTAATTTTTCATATGAATACACCTTTTCCTAAGCTTAAATTTTATATTTTTCAAAAACATACGAAATTCACTGTACCCTAATATATAGAGGTGTTAGAGAATTGCATGGTTCCATCAGTGGACAAAAAAAAAATTGTTCAATATCTTCTTTAGTTTCAATTTTGTGGTAGATTATATATACTTTAAGCAACAGAGTATGATATTTGTTTTTATAGTAAACAAATTGTTGTGATTCCTAGCAAAAAGTTGCAAAATAGCAGTTTTTTTTATTAATATTATTTGTAATTTTGTTTGATAATGTTTTTAAATATGATTTTATGTTTCAAAATGCAAGATTTGTTTTAAGAAAATATTGAACAAATATTTTTTTTATTTGCTAGAAAAATCTTTTTTTCTCGCAAATAAAAAAAATATTTGTTCAATATTTTCTTTAGAAGTTAATTTTATGGTAGCTTAGATATGCTTTAAGCAACAAAATTTAAATGTGCTTATATATTTTTTGAAAACATTTATGTTTTTTACAAGTTTTTAACAGTTAATAGTAAAAATTTAATATTAAATTTTTTCAAAAGGAAAAAAAAAACATAAAGTTTTTAAAAACTTTTAAGATTTCCATTGATATTCCAAGTGCAACATTCAGTATTAGGATAAACGAGGTTGACAATAGTTTACTGACCTTAATTTTTTAGAGGTTGGCAAAAAAAATTTGATACATAAGCCTCACCATAAAACATAGAAACAATGTCAGCAATTATTTGCCGACCTAAAGCACTTTATGGTCGGCAGTTAGGTCGGCATTGCCGAATGATGACCTTTATTGTGAGGATTGCGAGTGATATTCCAAACTTTCAAGATTTCCATTTTCCAAAATAACAATTTCAAATCTGACTATTTACTTTTTTGAGGCTTTTTTATTATTATTCAGTTAGATGATCTATCATTAATAATTATGTTTTTCAAAAAATGTGTGTTTTGTTATTTTCACCATTTGTTTACATAAACATTTTTTGAGCTGTTTTTGACAAGTTTTTTGAGCTGCATCTTTATTTAACCGTGAAACAATACTTCCAGACTGTTAATATACTTCATACTTTTAAAACATACATCAACATATAAAATAGTTGGTAAAAAAGTCAGTATAATGGCCTCATTGACTAAGAGAACATCAAATTATAGTTTTCAGATTTCTAAGTTTATATTGTTTATATTGCAAAAAAAATTTTGAGAAATGATGAAAAAAAAATGAAAATAAGAACACCTAAAAGAGATGCAAACGAATTCAAAAAAAAAAAAAAAAGAGAGTTACAACCACAACTAAGTATCCTCCTTAACTATGTGGCCCTTGGAGAAGTGAATTAAATTTTTTTTTAAACATGTATAACCAAGAATTCTTTTGTTTGACTTAACGCTTAACTAATGAATAGATATTATTAGTTAAATAGTTATTTTTGAAATAAATATAATTATTTAGTGTCACTCTTTTGATCAGGTTTCTGCATGAGTGACTACTTGAATCAATTATTTATATTTATTCTTAATAATGATTAATGATTTTTTTTATTTAAAATATTATAGATACTCTTCTTCTTTATTATTGTAATTATGATAATTATTATAATTATTATTGTAATTATATAATTGTAAATTTGAATGAACTATTAAAGTAACTACTCTAGATTACACAAGAAATAACTTTAAGGCTAAATTTGTGTCCTAACATTGTAACAAAAAATACAAGGATTATTTCATGAAGTACAAAAGTATGTTGATTTTTAAACCTAAGTCTTGACTTTCTGTTGTTGAGTTTGGCTAATTGAGTTTGGTCTTGCTATTTTTGAGCTTATAAAGGATCTCACTTCTGCTACAGCATGGGGCTTCACAGTGGCTGGTGAACTTTAATTCAGATAAAACTAAATTTTTTTCAGCCAATCGTTATCGCAATAATTTAGATCTTCCTATATTTATGAAAGGTAATGTACTCAATGAGTCTCCTACCCTTTATCTTCTAGGATTAACTCTTACTTCTGATTTTTCTTGGAAACCTTATATCAAATCTGTTGCAAAATTAGCATCTGCTAAAGTCACTTCTCTTTATGGAGCTTGTCACTTTCTTACTCTGGACTCTATTCTCTATCTCTATAAATCTCAAATCCGGCCTTGTATGGAATACTGTTGCCATATCTGGGGTGAATCTTCTAATGATGCCCTTTCTCTTTTAGACAAGGTGCAAAAACGCATTGTAAACATAGTTGGACCTGCTCTTGCAGCCAACCTTCAACCTCTGTCACATCGTCGTAATGTTGCTTCTCTTTCTCTTTTCTACACATACTATAATGGGCACTGCTCTAAAGAGCTAGCGTTTCTTGTGCCATCTACTAAAATTCATTCTTGTGTTACTCGTCATTCAATTAAGTCTCATCCTTTTTCTGTTACTGTACATTGAAAATGTGAGACATTCTTCATAATCTTTAGTAACTATCATAAGTAGTTATATTAAATAAAACATTTTTTACTTTTTTTTTTATTTGGAGAGGAGGGGAAATGTATTGCAATAGAACGCAATACATTATAAGAGTGACATCATAGTTGTATCCTTTTTTTTCAATGTTGAATTCTTTTCATTTACTTGAATTTGTATTTGAATAAACCTTTACTATTAATTATGTATTTTTTCAACACAAAAAAGTTTTTTTTTCAATTATATTAATACTATATTAAGTATAAGGAACTAATGGTAAAAAAAAATTTTGTTTTCTCTAAATTACTTACTTAAATTTTAATTACTAACTTACTTAGATTTTTCTAAGGTTATTAGTAACGATTTCTCTAAATAAGAGGCTTATTGTTAGTCATGTTTTCTTGAAGTTAGAGGCTGGGTAAGACTAATGTTTTCTTTAATAAATATTTATTATAGCTGTGATCTTCTAATTAAATAATTCTAATATATATAAACTAAATAACTAATAGGTCTAGCGGAAGCTAGACCTATTAGTTATAACTGTTATTTTTCGAACCAGTTTTTAATAAAGCTTTAATTATTCATTCACAGAGTTTAAGTCTTAAATGTTTCAAATTTTTAAATCGTCTTTAATGTTTCAAATCTTTAATTCATCTTGCATTCTTTCGCTTTGTTACAACATTATATATATTGCAACATTACATATATTGCATATACACATTGCAGTATATTGATGTTTTAAGAGTGAAAAAAAAAACAATATAAAATGCTCTTTTTTTTTTTTGGTGCTTTATCTTGTTTGTTAAAAAACTTAAAAATGAAATTTTTGAAATTTCCCTAAAAATAGCTGATCATTGATCGTTGATCGGCCACTATTTCTAGCGCTGCCTGTAATGCCTTTAAATGCAGTGTTAATACGTTTTGAAAATAAAATTTCTTGCACTTCTTATTTTTAAATTTATTTTTTGAGAGTTTTTTTTCATTTTTACTCTTTTTTTTTCTGGTTTAAAAATTTTGTAACATGTTTTAAAATAAATTAAACATGTATTGTTATCAATTATAAAATGTCTTCATTGGTAAAAATATCTTATGGTTGAACTGATGTTTCTGATGTTTTAGTTTTGGTTGAACTGATGTTTCTGATGTTTTAGTTTCGGTTGAACTGATGTTTCTGATGTTTTAGTTTCGGTTGAACTGATGTTTCTGATGTTTTAGTTTCGGTTGAACTGATGTTTCTGATGTTTTAGTTTCAGTTGATGTTTAGTTATTCAGTTCAAATTTTGATTTAATTTTACCATTTTATGATTTAATTTTTTGCACCAAGTTCATAATAGTTTATTATATATTGTTTACAAAACTTATTTTAAACACGCTTTAAAATAATTTCCGTAATAGAAATTATTTTAAAGCGTGTTAAAGTTTATTTAATATTATTTTAAAATTTATTTATAATATACATTATCTGACACTAATTAAAACTTAAATTTCTTTTTTTATTTTAATTTATTAATTGTAGCATAACAATTGTAACATTTTATTGATTAAATATGATTGCTTAGATAGATCTTTCAATTCATAAAAGCATAAGATTGATACTTGTGAAACAGTCAGTTGAAAGTCATGATTATCCAGCTTGACTGTCATCTTAAATTATTTTACATTTTTCCAACCATTGCATGTTTATTTAGTGTGTTGTGCAACCATTGCATGTTTATTTAGTGTGTTGTGCAACCATTGCATGTTTATTTAGTGTGTTGTGCAACCAATGTTTATTTAGTTGTCAGCATATATAACTAGAGTTATAAGTATATAATTATAATTATATATTTATATAATGTATTATTCTAAGTAGTTATCTATGTATAATTGATTACAAAATAGTTAAACCAATTGCATCTGTTAAAGTTGCATTCCTTAATTGTGTTTGCCACTTTCTTACTCCAGATTCTATTCATTATCTCTATAAATCGTATGGAATGGCAAATTGTATGGAATATGACAAATTGTATGGAATACTGTAGCCATATCTGGGGCAGATCTTTCATTGATGTCCTTTCTCTTTTAGACAAGGTGCAAAAGATGCATTGTAAACATAGTTAGACTTGCTCTTGCAGCCAACCTTTAAACATTATCACATCTTCATAATGTTGCTTCTCTTTCTCTTTTCTATAAATACTATAATGGGCACTGCTTTAAAGAGCTAAAATTCATTCTCGTGTTACTCATTATTCAATTAAGTCTCATCCTTTTTCTGTTACTGTTCCTGACTGCTCCAAAAACTCTTTTTACTTAGTGGTATAGTGGTAGAGCGGTTAATTCATAACTAAAAGGTTTTGAGTTAAATCTTAAACATTCCTCTTCTAGTACTGTATTCATCGTGTTTCTCTTTGCAGCAATATTGTTCACCAAGAATTTTTTGAAGTTAAAAGATCAAGACGGGATTGCAATTTAAAAAAATAATAAAATAGTTGAGTAGCCTTCTCAATTTTAGTGATCCTCTTATTTTTATTAAGATAAATATAAAATATGTATTGCAATTTGTTATACAACAATTTTTTAGGTAGAATGTTTAATGTCATTTGGGGCTGTTATGCGAAGTGCTGGGTAAGAAATTGTTGATTAAATGTATGTTTAGTTATAGAGTTTCGAGTTAGAAATTGTTGATTCATTATATCAAAAATGTAACTTTTTTTTTAGAAATTTATTTTGTGACAGTTATATAAATGCACAAGGTACATACTGCAAACGACTCAAAGTTATGTGTCCTGAGCACTTCAAAGAAACAAAAGTAATAAAATTTTGATTTTCGTTACATTTTTTTTTTAATATATATATATATGGGCAATTCCATTTTTAACTTATGTTTAAACGCACAACAACTTTAGCAAATATTTGCCTATTTAAACTGGAAATTAAACTTTTAGCTGTATGTATGAAAGCTGTTAGCCTAAAGAATAAAATAATCTAAAAACTTTTGAGTCTGGCTAAAAGAGGGTAAATTTATTGCTGAAAATTTTACTTTACTTATGTTACATGGAAAACAAGGTTAAAAAAATGCTTTTAGGTCAGATTTCTGCAACTCAGTAAAGCAGTTTGTATAAGAAACTTTCACAAGATGTTCAGAATTCTATACCAATTTAAAAAAATATATAAAAATTTATCAAATTTGTTGTTTATGCGTATTGCCTTATTTTCACTAAGTTGAATTTTTTAAATGCTGCAAAGTATATTACATTTAAATTTTTTTAATATTTCTGATATAAAAACTGCTGTCACAGTTCAGGAGGGAGAGGAGGTTCAAGTATATGTGATCGTGTGTGACAGGAGGGAAGGGGTTAAGAATTAACAAATATAGGGTGGTGTACTTTATGGTGTGTATGATGTTTATGACGTGCTGTATTATTAAAAACTTGAGTTTTTTAACTAAATTTTAGAAAAAACAAAACTTTATCATTTTTTTGTCAACTTGTGTTACATAAAAATTGCAAATGTTCTTTCATTATTTTCTTGAAATATATATATTTTATTTCAGCAACAATTTGAACTTGTTAGCTCCATTTACACACTAAATTAATTTCGATTATGCAAATATATTTATGGTTAAAATAACATTTTACAATGATTTTTTATTATGCAACAATCAGAAAAACCGTAACTTTTAGAAGCATAAAAATGACTTTGATAAAATAATTTTAGTACTAAAGTAAACTTTCATGTGTCTACATCAATATTCATTTGCTGAAAGTAGACAAAAAGAGAATAAAATTTGACTATTTTTTCATATTTCGCTGTGGAATTGCCCATATATATATGTGTGTGTGTGTGTGTGTCTTTTTATGGATAATAATTTCTTAAAATCAAACTCATCCTTAAACAAGCAAATTGCACACACAAAAAAAACACCCTATAAAAAAAAAACACCTAAGTTTACTTTTTAGAGAGATTATCGGCTTATATTGTTACTGGAAATTAATTTTATTTGCTGATTTTGTTATATTATTGTAAAAGCATTTTACTTATTTAGATTGATTCTGATATGGTTTGTGGATGTCCACTTGTTGACAGTGAGTTTCATGAAACAGGAAAGTTTTGCAGAATATCTAAGCGTAAATGTACACGCCATGTATCTTGGTATAGACTTAGGCGAGGAGAAATTGATCTTAGAAGAGTTCATCAGGTATCTTCTTATTCCTTAGACAATAAAATTTATTAAATTTTGATCTTCTACCAGGGTGTAAACTAGCCTTCTGAGGTCCCATTAAAAGCAGTAGTCCCAAATGCTCATAAAATTAAAATTCCCAATTAAAAAATCCCATTCTCCAAATAAAGTAAGCTAAATCATAAATTGAAATTTAGAAATAGTTCTGAAAGTTATTGAAAATTAATTATCATTAAATACTAATAGAAAAATAACTTGATAAATTCTAATTTATTGTGTAAAACTTGAAATAAAATCTCCACTAACTACACATTGCATAACTCTGAAAAAGTATCTTGGAAAAAACTTCTTGAGAATTGGGATTTTCCCAGCAAATTTAGAGAATATCTCGGCAACTTGCTTGTAAAATTCATTTCCAAAATTTACAATTAATTCTTTGCAATGTCTTCCAACAACACCAAACATTATATTAAAAAGTTAGCAAGAAATAAAGCACTATTAAAAATATATATATATGTTTGATTGAACACCTGAAAATGCTATTTCTTTAAAAGTTTTGTCATTTTGGCTGAAAATTCAAATAACTAATAAGTCTCACTGCAAACACTACTTCAAGTAGTTCATTGTTGACATTTCGTCAACAATCATTGTTGACGCTTCGTCAACAAAACTTATTCAAATTATCGAAAAGTCGTCAGAAATTTTGATCAATGCGGACATCATGGCTGATGACATGGGTTTTGAAGTAGGAAGGGGGGCACAAATGTAAATTTTAAATAAAAGTCCTCTATATCTAAAATTTTCTTTTTTAAAAAAAAGAAGGTCCTTTAGAAAAAAAATGTGCCCCCCGCCCCCATTCCTATTCATCAATTATTTTTACTTATCTACGATGATTTCTCTATTAACTTTTTTTACTTATTTCACTAAAAATTATTATTACTTATCTACTATGACTTCTCAAATAACATTTTAAGAAAAACCACCTCTGAAGTTAAATAAAAAAATGTTTTATGATTAGAAGTTATAATCATATAAAATATATAATTATAATATAACAAATTGGTATTATATATTTATTTAATAAGGAAAATAGATTTACTTACTTTATTTACTATACTTTTTCTATATTTACTTACTTTGCTTGTATTTAAAACGTAAATTGAATACGTTTAATAACAAGAATTTTTTTTATTACAGTAAAATGGTACTAGACAGGTCTGTAGGAACAATATTTATATTGGGGGGGGAGCAGTGTTACCTTCTCTTTATTTTAAGCTTTTTTTTCTAAAAAACCCAGGGCCCTGCAAAGCCATAGTCTGCCACTGTGTTATATTCTTTGCTTGGTTGATTTTAAAATGTAAAATCAAGTTCAAATGTTTGAATGAACCACATTTTATGACTATGAATGAAAAAATAATTATTGGTGCTCTTCGTTGCAATAATAGTGTAGAATGGTTTGCGAACAATATTCTTTTGCAATTCAGCGACTTTTGTTGTTGTTTTTGCTGAAATTTTGTAATTGTAACTTTTTTTTGCTATGCGATTTATGTATAAAAAAAATTTATATTAATTATGAAATTAAACTCCCAAAAGTGTGAAATATGAAATTTACAGGCTCATTACTATTTCAAGCTACTATTTCAAAACCTTTTCTATTTTTAAAACATTTCTTTTGATGACACAATTTATTACATGCTGATGTAAGGGTTTGTCTATAAAGGACATCAAGTAGAATTTAATATGTTTGTGTTTGAGAAATGCGTTATTGATTTAGTTGTTTTCTTGATTTTCTTGTGTATCAAAAAAAAATCCGTTTACATGAATGCCCACCAGTGATAAGAAATATATATTCAAAAGAATGCTCTTTAAAATAAAAGCAACAATGATATACTAAAATAAAAATACAATTCTTAGTAATAATTAATATGCACTGATTAAAATAATACAAAAATATATAATTCTTTATATATCTTTGAAAATCGGAGTTTAATTTGCTGTGTCATTGTGAAGGCAATTTAATTTTGTATTGACTTCATCTTCAATAAATGCTACAGACAAGTTTTTTTTTTTTTGGTGCTATCCAATCAATGTATCTAGTGTTAAATGGTTGAAGAAAAGAAAAGAAGATAAGAAAAGAACCCTACGCATTCCTGAAACACATTTTAAATTCGGGAGGAGGAGGATTGGAAAATATTTTGACAAATTCCCAATTTTGTCAAACGCTGAGTAAAATTTATTCTTGGTTAACACCTTGCTTTCATGATTTTCAGGTTTCATTTATATTTTCTGTTATTTTATCTGAGGAGTGAAGGTGCTAAGTCCAAGTAAATTGATTTTGAAAAATCAAAGAAAAACATCTTATAGAAAGCAACAGTAATTGATAATCTTAGGGTAATTAGGATAGTTATTCTAAGATTATCATTAATTATTATTAATTGATAATTAGTAAGTAATGCGGTAGTGGTGTAGTGGTTGAGCGCTCGCTTCATAAACGAGTGGTTCCGAGTTCGATCCCCACCACGTCCCTGGTAGTACCGCGCTCAACTCGTTTCTCCGCGCAGCGGCCTTGTTCGTCAAGGTTCGTGTTTCGGAGTTATAGAGTTGAGAGAGGGTTATAGCCACAAAATAAGTAGCCTCCTCGTTTGTAGTGGCCTTCTCGGCCTTGAGAGGTGAAGTAAAATAAAAATAAAAAAAAAAAAAAAAAGTAATTGATATTTAATCTATTATTAGGGGCTAGAGTCTAGATCTAGAGCTAGAGTTAGAGTAAATATTAGACCTTATATTTAAATAGATGATAGATTTTAGTATATAAAATTTAAAAATGAAATAAAATCAAAGTTTCATCTTTTGACAACTTTATGTAGTTATCAATGACATTAATGACTACATTATAATTACATTGATAACTAGATAAAGTAAAAAAAAACTACATTAGTTTTTATACTAAACAGTGCCTTTTTGTTTTTACACTAAAAGTTGAACAACTTTTTGTTTTTACACTAAACATTAAATATATTTTTGTTTTTACACAACCTGATGTAGTTATAAAAGTTTTACATTTGTCAACCAAAATGATGAGTGGAGCATGTATATTTTTCAAAATGTTCTTTTTATTGACTCATTATACTTCAATATTTGTAAATTTTAATTTTTGTTTTTTTTGGTAAAGTTTTTGAAAGATAAAAACAATATGCAGACAAGATAAAAACAATATGCAGACAAAAAAAACATATATTGCAGTATTCTATATTCTCACTGTGTAAAATAAGGAAGTTGTTGTCATCAAAGTCAGGAAAAACTTCAAAACAACGCAAAAGTTTAAAATAAGATGTTTTATAATCTATAAAATTAACATTGTGATTGTGTTTGTAGTAATTATATTAATAAGACTCAAAACAAACTTTAAATGTTTTTGCATTATATATGTATTGTATTAGTATTAGTATTGTATATATGTATATGTTTTATTTAACTTGAAGCATATTTTAAGTTAACATAAACGTATTTTTTGTTATAACCTGTATTAAAACTGGAAATTATAATTCTTAATTTTTAAAATTAACTTACAAGAGATATTCAAAATTAAATAATTCGTATAGCACTGTTATGTGTGTTTTTATTAAGCATGTTTTGGAAGATACCATATGCTATAAAAAGAAAACAATTTATCAAAAGAGAATTTTTTTAAAATTCCAAACTTCTTTTTTTTTTCTGTTAAGTTAAAGATTCTTCAAATTAAATTCAAGAGCTTTTTTTTTTTTTTTTTTTTTTTTTGCAATCTGTTTCCTTTATTTACTAGTTAAACACAAGTGGTGTACTCACTCACTGTACTCACGTGGTGGTGTTGACTGTACTCACGATTAAATAGTTTACAGCAGTATCTCTTGTTTAAAAAAGTACATTAAACATTTCCTTTTTCTTACTAATTTCAATGTACATAAGGCCATGATTTTTATTAATTTGAACTGATACAAAATATACTCATTTCATTCTTTTATTTTTATTGTGATGACGTTACCTGGATTTAAAACTTTTTTTTGTACTGTTATTTGTGTGTGTTTTGATTTGTAGTATTTGTGTTTTGATTTGTAGTCATTTATGTTTTGATTTGTAGCCATGTTGTTTTAATTTGTAGTCATTGTATTTTAATTAGTTTTTATGGTGTTTTGATTTGTATTCATAGTGTTTTGATTTGTAGTCATGGTGTTTTAAAATGTATTCATGGTGTTTCAATTTGTTTTCATAGTGTTTTGATTTGTAGTCATGGTGTTTTTGTTTTTTACCTATGCTTGAAAATATATAAATCATGTTTTATATTGCATATATCTTGCACTAAATAACAAAAATAACAATAGTAATAATAATAATATAATAATAATATAATAATAATAATAGTAATAATAATAATAATAATAATAATAATAATAATAATAATAATGATAATAAAAAAACAAAATTTTGCTTTTTAAGATTAAGATTCAAGTTTGTTGCAACCACAAAACTTTGCAACAAACTTTGCAATTAATTTAAAAATAAAACTCAAATTTTACTTTTTCTTTGGAATTATTTATAATAAAATAAAAAGTTTCCAACTTTTTATTTTATTTAATCTTATTTTTATTTTGAGTTTTTACAAATTTAGCCCAAATGCCTATGAAATATAATGCAATAGAAGGAATGCGTATTTAAAAATAAAAGAAAAATTACAACAAAAACATATTGTTTGATTGTCAAAAGAAAAAAAAAACTTAAGTAAAATAGTTGTTAATATAACTAAAATGCTGTTATCGTAACTAAGATGACATTATTTAATAATATTTATGTAATAAATATTTTCCGTTAATGTATTAAAAAAAATTATCCACATTTTTTCTTCCCAACATCTTCACTTTCAACAAGGCTGCCAACAACCACTATTAGAGTTGGAAGTTACTGGATAAGAAAAGATGAGGTTTAGAGAACATTATAACAATTAACAGACCACTTAGAAGATTGCAAATTATATGAATCAGGAAAACAAGATGAAGGAAGCGAATTCCAAAGAACTGATGTTCGAGGAAAAAAACTAGATGAATAAGGATTTTTGAAGCACTTAAGAACAATCGCAGTAAAAGGATGAGATTGAATGGCAAGTAACACAAGAATAAATCTTAGTAGATTTTAGAACTCAAGAGCTGCTAGCTCTATAGAGCAGTGCCCATTATAGTATTTATAGAAAAGAGAAAGAGAAGCAACATTACGACAATGTGATAATGTTTGGAGGTTGGGTAGATGACTCATTGAGTACATGACTATTCATAAATATAGGAAGATCTAGATTATTGCGATAACAATTAGCTGAAAAAAATGAGTTTTATCTGAGTTAAAGTTTACCAGCCATTGAGGGCCTCATGCTGTAGCAGAAATGAAATCTTTTTCAAGCTCAAATGCCCCTCCAAGCAATCAGAGAGTGTTGGTTTCTTATCAAGACAAGAATAAATGATAGTATCATCAGCAAACAATGCCACCTTAGATATAAGAATTTCTGCAAGGTCATTAATGTAAATTAAAAAGAGTATATGGCCAACCATAGAACCCTGAGGAACCCCTGAAGTTACAGGATATGAAGAAGAGTGCTATCCAACCAGGACAACTTTTATGTTTTATGAAGTCACTTTGATACAGAAGCTGGAGTGATACCAACGTCAACCAATAGATCAACCTGTTTGTCGGCTATATCAGGTAGAACGCAACTAGTGGAATCAAGAAATGATATTGATGAATAGTTCTTAGCAAACAGTTCAGCTTTGTCTTAAGGTAAGGCGACAAAATCTGAACCATACAAGAAAGGTGGAATGACAGATTAGTCCTTATTATAGATACTGTTAAAGATTCTCCAGAAGTCAAGATTCTCCAGAAGTCAAGATTCTCCAGAAGTCAAGATTCTCCAGAAGTCAAGATTTTCCAGAAGTCAAGATTCTCCAGAAGTCAAGATTCTCCAGAAGTCAAGATTCTCCAGAAGTCAAGATTTTCCAGAAGTCAAGATTCTCCAGAAGTCAAGATTCTCCAGAAGTCAAGATACAATTCTTATTTTGATACAAAACATGCGTAAAATAATCGCTTTAACAGGATTTCTGTCAACACAATTAATAGTAAGTCATTACTTATGCTATGTCAACACAAGTAATACTATGTCAATACAAATAATACTACGTTAACACGAGTAACAGAAGTATTTCAACATAAAAAAGCAACAAAAACTATTAACAGATAACATAAAGTATGTAAAATGTAAAAAGTCTTGAGTGTGTAAAATGTAAAACGCTGACGCTAAAGCAAGAAACTGTTACATATATTACTAGTCAAAGAATGGTTTGAAACTTGAAACTTCTTACAATTTGAAATCTTTTATATCCAAAAGTAGTTAATACCTGTGGAGAAAATGAAATAAAGTTTATTTGCCTACAAAACAGGATAAAATAATACATATGTGTATTGTTAAGTGATGTCTCAGTACAAAGATTTTTCTGCTGGATACACAAAGACATCTATTAACAAGCAGCATTTTCTTTTTTAAAATGTTATTGATTACTGTGGAGCCAAATCAGACTAAAAATTTGCAATCAGGTTTTTAAAAGTACGTCCAGTAAATGCAATCAGGTTTTTAAAAGTACGTCCAGTAAATGCAATCAGGTTTTTAAAAGTACGTCCAGTAAATGCAATCAGGTTTTTAAAAGTACGTCCAGTAAATGCAATCAGGTTTTTAAAAGTACGTCCAGTAAATGCAATCAGGTTTTTAAAAGTACGTCCAGTAAATGCAATCAGGTTTTTAAAAGTAAGTCCAGTAAATGTCCATAAAAGTACGTCCAGTAAATGTCCATAAACTTAAAAACATCATAAATCTTAATAATTTTCGTTAAAGCTAAAAAGAAAGTATTAAGATTTTTTTTGCAAGACAAATATAAATTTTTTACAATCTGTAGAAAATAATAAACGAAAAAAGAAACTTTCTTTACCAGCAGGTATAAGTATTACATAGTTGTTGTAGAAAAATTTGATGATGTTGCCTTGCAAAGAATAAAAGAGCATAATAAACACGAATAGTAAAGTAAATGATAATAGTAATAATAAAGTACTAAAGTAATGTAATAGTTATGTAACTTAATATAGTTATATAAAAATCGAATTTTTAATGTGAGTTTTAAATAGGGTGTCGTGATAACATCCTAAAATCATTAAGTAACATTGAAAACAAACTAAACATCGAAAAGAATGAGATATCAAATCAGAAAGTTGTACATGTGTGCAAAGAGAGAAAAATGAATTAGTTCTGTTAATTTTATGAAAGTAGACTTCTTTCTGGGCAAATTACAATCGTCAAAGAAACCAATAGTAAAAACACAAAATACATGGAAGTTGTCTGACGCACGAGGAAGTATTTTCTATGAATGGTATAATTATTTGTTTTACATTAAGGAACTTAAAAAAAAATTTAAAGCTGGGGAAATTTACAAATTATCTCAATTAGACTTTTAATGGGGCTTTTGAAGCGTACATTGTTAGTTTTCATTTAATGAATATTTGCTAAAAAAAATTGCGTTCATACAAAGAAACTTAATTTTGTGTCTAATAATGTTCAAAGTTAGGCAAACCGGTTGCACACATTGTAAAATGACGTTGTATAAAAAAAATGACGTTGTATAAAAAAATGACGTTGTATAAAAAAAATGACGTTGTATAAAAAAGACTTCCTTAAATGAGAAATAGTGTGTATATTTAAAATAGTTTTTAAATAGCCTGAAGAAAATTTTCGGCGAGTTTTAAAAATAAGTTTTGAACAAATTGCTTAAAATTAATTTTTATAATGAAGTTACAGTTGTATTATACATAAAATAATTTAAAACCTGCAAAAAAGGCGGATGAAATTAATAAAAAAAGTTTTAAATTCAAAAGAAAAAACGAAAGGCTAAAGTTTTCAAAACCAATGAGGCAAAGGACTTATTTTTTGGCCTTAAGGTCAAGGATTAACAACACTGAGCATTTGTAATTTGAAAAAATATGATAACAAGAAAATAATAAAACATAATTACAATTGATATGTGTCGCTTTTAATTGTATAAATATTTGAAAACAAATAACACTTATCTTTTTTTTTATTATTACATTTTATTTTTTTATTAGCATTTATTACTATTTTCATTTTAGTGGTGGAAACTTGAAGATGCTTTGGAGCAAGAACGTCAGCTTCGATTTGAAATTTCAAATAGAAATGACGTTGTCGGAATTTTGCTACACGATACAATAGACCACTCCGAAGTATTAGAGAGTAATTTAACAAATGATACGTCGTTGAATTCGATTGAGACTGAAGAATCCTTACAAAGCGCGTTTTATGAAGTTGACAGATAACATTTTCTTGTGTCGGAAAACGTTTCTAAAGCAGAAGAAATTTTTAAAATTAATTTTAAGAAATTTTAAAAGAGGAAGTTTAGCGTCAATATCGAAAACAAAAAAAAAAATGCACGAATACTAAAAGTTAAATTTAAAATCGCTTTCAAATAACGCGCTTCAAATTTTACAGCAATCTGAGAAAGTTGCAGTTAATAGTTTCCAAGACAATGAAAAAATTTGAATTTTTTATGTTAAAAAATCTTTAAAGAGGAAAAATACTATTTATGCAGTTGCTTGACAGATGTTATTTCGATTCTGCTCTATCTAGAAATGAATGCCTAATTAACTAATTAATGGTTAAACTTTTGTTACAGATTCTAAAAACGGTTGTTTATGAACACCTTGCGTTTTTATCGAGGAGTTCATTTGCAAAACGTGCTAAGTTCGAGTATATTGATTTTAAAAAAAAGCGACGAAAACTAAATTACTAATATTTGCGCATCAACAGAATTTAGTATTTTCTTTGTCTATTTTTAGGACAAAAAAACTTTTAATTGTTCTAATATTTAAATTTATGATTTCAATATATAGAATCTGGAAATCGAATTAACTCAAAATGTTTTAATTTTGTGACTTAGCGTGTTTTGCAGATAGGCTCCTCAACTATCTTTAATAAATTTTTGTTTGAAGTGGGTGTAGTGTGAAGTGGGAGTGTTTCCTTTTGATTAAAAAACACTTTTTTTTACTTTTTTTTTGCATTTTATATGCTTACGTTAATCATCATTTTATCAGTTGTTTTAAAAATGAAAATGCCATTTGATCCATTAAACTTCATCTAAGTATTTAAATTTGATATTCTTTACTTTACTTACGTAATTAAAACTTAACCAATTTCTTTTTTTTTTTTTTCTGCGACCGTGGAATTACTACATAATATGCTTTGGAAGTATTAAACGGTAATTGGGCGCCATCATTTTTTCTGGATCGTGTGGATGAAATGAAAAAAATATTAGAATATTTTGTTTTCCACTAGGCTTTATAAAATAGTTCAAATTAATTTTATTACCAAAATCTATGTGTGGCAGATCAGAATGTTCAAAGGTCTTTGAAGGTTCACTATACTGGGATAAAGTCGTTGTTGATGATGAGCGTATCTGTTGACTTAATAATTCTATTTGTTTACAATTCTCAGGTAATATACTTGGAGAATCTGTAAAAATTTGTATATGACTTGAAATAGATGTAGAAGGTGAAAAAAAATAATGTAATGAATCAGTATTAGATGTTATATAAACTTGTGATTTTATTGGCGAATTGGGTACAACTTTTTCAGAAATACATTGATTTGACTAAAATATCTTTAAAAATACGTTTTAAACATTAAATTTTGTAAAAAAACAAAAAAACTTTTAGATGAAAATAAGAAAAAGCAAACAAGGCCAAAGTTTCAAAATATGTAAGAAGAATGTAAAAACATTGACCTTAGATGATCAATCCATTTTTACCTTAACTCATTTGTCGCAGCCTTGCAACTCTAGTTATTCAAGTGATATTAATCAGACTCCCTTGCGTGTAAAGTTTGATTGATAGCCAAATATGAAAAAAAATCATTGGTTTGGCTTTGTATTTCACTAAAAGGGGTATCAAAGTTGTTTTTTATTCCTTTAGGAATGGCAGTGAACCAAACAACCTACATCGAAACCATTATTAAAAAGTATTTGGTACCTTTTATATTAGGCAAATTTTATAGTATAGGAGAGTAGGGGAAGGATAAATTTTTTGAAGGGATTTGGTATCCCTTGAAGGATCGAAACTTATTAGCAATGCTCCCACTAATTTGATGAATGACAACGTTAAAACTGTTTTAATCATTAATGAAACTCTTGTTAATGTATACATATATATATATATATATATATATATTTTTTTTTTATTTTTTTTTTTTTTGTTCTTTAATTTTACAACTTTATGATTTAATAAATATTCGTTAACAATGTATATATATATATATATATATATATATATATATATATATATATATATATATATATATATATATATATATATATATATATATATATATATATATACATGATCGTTATTAAGAAATAAAAGTACGCGGGAACTCGTAGAAGACCGTAAGGTCTTGTCGTCGAGAACCGCTAAAAAATTTTCGTGTTAATATTTCGTATTAATAAAATATTCTCAAAATAAATAAACTTTCAATATGAATATATACTTAACATACTTGAAGATAACAAATAATTAGGAATTAAGAATTGAAAACATAAACAAATTTAAAGAAAAAAAGAAAAAGAAAAACGGTTCCGTTATAAATACATAGATGCGTTATACAGTTTTAAGATATCTTTAGCACAATTGTTAAACTTTTTGTTAAAGGTTTTGTTATACAGTTTTAAGATACCTTTAACAAAAGTGTTAAATAACTATTTACAAATTGTTAAATTATAAAATTTATTAATGCAGTGTTAAATATAAAGTTAAAAAAAGAAACAAAAAATTAAAAGAATATAGATATATCATCTAATAAAAAAATGACTTTTTTAAGTTTTTATTTGAAAGAGTGATAGCTAACTTCTTGAGAAAAGTCAAAATTCTTTAAAACTATTTTTTTCCAAAGTAATGCTCCTCGAAATGAAATACAGTATTTTCCAGAATTAGTTTGATAAGCTGATTGACGAATATTATTATCATTTCGTAAAATGTACTTAGTTTTTTCTTTTTTGTTATACAAATTATGAAAAGGTACAGGAGAAATATTGTTTTTACATTTAAACATAAAACATATAACGTTAAAAATATTAAGCTCATATATATTTAAGACTTTCATTTCAATTAATAGAGGCTTGGCATGAGTAAATTGATCCTTAAAATTAATAAGGCGTGCAACATATCCCAGTAAGCACAAGACGCATTTTAGACACATATAGACGTCTAAAACTAGTCTAGGTAAAGACGCACTTTTATAGACGTTTTAAAGACATCTTCTAGACGTCTTTTATGAAGGCGTTTTTAAAATGACGTTTAAAAGGCGTCTATTTAAGCGTTAAAAAAACGACTAGAAGATATCTTTTTTTAAGATATCTTCTAGACGTCTTTAATAAATGCAATTTTAACATGACGTTTAAAATGCGTCTTTTTAAAGTTTAAAAATACGTTTAAAAGACGCGTAATAAATAGTAAAATACGCAATAAAAGACGTCTAGATCAAAGCTAAAAGACGTCTTTTCTGAGACCTGTTTATAAATATGTCATTATGACTTCTTTTTGACGGCTTTGTCATTGCGCGTTAAGTAGATGTCGTATATTCAAAGTAAAAACATAGTTTTTATCATTTTCAATAATTTGTTCAAGTTTTAAGTGTAAATTACTTTAAATTAAATTACTTTTTTACACAATTGCTAAAATTGTTGTCACAGGAATCACTAAAATAATTGCTATAATAATAATATATCTTTTTTTTATTAATAATTATTTTGCTTTTTTAATAGATAGTTGACTGATCATGATAATAAGTGAAAATGGCAAGAATAATATATAAGTTAAATATCAGTACTTTTAGTTTTTATACACCCACAAGCCATATAATAAGTCAAGTATGCGGTCAAAAGTTAGCTAGCAATATGTATATTAAATTTTATTATAACTAAAGGTAAGTTAAAAATGTTTTAAATACTGTTTTGATATATATTTGTTAGTGTTATTTATTATTTTCATCTTTGATGCATCAACCGTTGGTGGTTATTACAGCAATATTATTTTGATTACTAGATCCTATGTATATTTTGTATATACGAAATTATAACAATATATGATGTTATAAATACAATGAATATATACCACATACTACGCGAAATTGTTACGTCATGTACTTAAATTTATCTTGAAAAAAATGTCTAACATACGTCTAAAACGCGTTTTTATAAAGACGTCTTCATTTAGACGTCTTTTAGCCTTATGATCTAGACGTCTACAAGTGCGCCTTTTAGACCTCCTTAAAGACATCTTTAAAACGTCTTTTAAACGTCTTTGTGCTTACTGGGAAACTGGAGAACTGCGTGTTCTGTCGAGTTATTTTTTTTGAATCCATATTGATTGCTATATATTAAATTGTTTACAGATAAATGATTATAAATTCTGTTGTATAAAATTCTCTCCAAGACTTTTGAAAATGCATATATATATATATATATATATATATATATATATATATATATATATATATATATATATATATATATATATATATATATATATATATATATATATATATATATATATATATATATATATATATATATATATATATATATATATATATATATATATATTATGGCAAAAAAGTGATTAGACCAACATGTCTATTACTGACTTTATATTAGTTTTAGTAAAAATACGTCTCTTATGTACAAATATTGCTTTTGTAATCAACAAAAATTTTGGGATGTGCTGTTGTATTTTTAATCCCTTAAAATATTTAAGATAGTGATTTTATTATTAACTGTTCAAAAATGAAATTTTCATGCATTTTATTGGAATACTTAAATTAAATTTTCATGCATTTCGTGGAATACTTATTTCAATTTTATGTTTTAAACATGGCTGACAAAGTTAGTTTAAATGAAAGTGATGACTTCTTCCTATGATGGCATACTGACGAGTTAGGTATGTTGCAATATTGACGAGTTGATAAAAAATTTTCAGCGAAGTAAAAAAGAATTTTTACTTGACTAAAAAATTTTTGGTTCAAAAAACACATAAAAGGCAATATCTCTTATGCGCCTGCGTGACATTCTACACTGCTCCTTTGTTGTACAAAAGAGTTAATTAGGATAATTACGCGTATTTTATGGCATTTCCGAGGAAAGACTCTAAGGTCAAATGTAATCATCAAGTTTTCCTTGATGCTAACTAGCCCCATCCTCCCCTATGCCATCTTAGGAACAGTAGTTGCGTATGATGGCATACTTTTGCTTTTTTTTTTTAATAATAATAACTAATAAAAAATAAAGCTGATGAAAACTGCTAAGGTTATTATTGTTCTACGTGTAACAAAGAATGTCCAAACTTTTGTTATGAATAAGCTTTTGTTCAAAAACCTATTCATAACCCGTTATTTTTACTTTGTTTGAAAAATATTTAGATTACCAAATACTTTCAAATATATTTATAAAAATTAAATTCAATTTGCATAAATCTTTTAGTAAAATAAAGCAAGGACTGGGACAAGGCTCTAACTGCTTTATATTTAAACAGAACATAATGTGTTTAGGGGAATATTTTTTAGAACTTTAGTAGTTTACAAAAATGACAAAAGCTATAAAGTTTTTTTCTTTTTTATTATAGCAGGTAAAAATACATCCATTAGCATTGAAGTGCGTGGATAAATACTAGCAGAGACAAATCAAATTGGTTGAAAAGGTTCCGCAATCAGATATAGAGATTAAGATAAAGTTGTTTCTTTATATCTGATATGATGACCATCAAGTAGTCAACATAAGATAACTTGTTTGAATAGTTTTATTATTTTATAATAAGCGGATTGTTAAATCATGGTGAAAATAACTTGCATCAAAACATTAGCATTTAATTGAACACTCCAAAAATTCGTTTGTTTTTTATTTTAACTTCCTTTTGAAACTTTTCGATGAAATGGTATTCATTTTTTGTTTTATGGTTGTTTCAAGTTCATTTTTAGTTCAATAGAATTTTATGTTAAGAGTTCATTAAATTGCACATACTTTGTAAGCTTTTTGTTTAATAAACGTAACAATAACGGTTTTTTTTGTTATTTTTTGTAAAACATGCTTTAGATTTAAATTTTATGTTTGTACGGAGGAAACTTTCTTATTTAGTATTAGTGTTTTAGTATTAGTATTAGTTTATGCTGTGACTGGTAATGCTACCAGTAAGTATGGTTTTAAAGCACACTATGACAGCTGAGTCTTGTGATGACTCCCATCAATCCAGTCTCGCTTTAAATGAGTTGACTAAGTTAGCTTTAACAACATTTTCTGGCAGTGCATTACAATAATTTGCAGCTCGAATTAGTAAAGTATTTTCTCTATAATTATGTAAAGAAAACTCTTTAGAATACTTTAGGTTATGGCCACGAGTACAATTTTATTTTAAGGACTTATTTTCTTTAAATTCAACAATTCAATCGTAACCTTTAAAAATTTTAAACAATTGAATTATGTCACCACGTTGTCTTCTTTTAACTAGTGAAGACATTCTAATACAAGCTAGTCGGTCTTCATACCATAATTTATTGATTGAAGGTACCAATTTAGTGGCACGACGCTGTATTCTTTTCAAAAATTGCAATATCTTGTTTTTGATAAGGAGCCCAAACTGGTACAGCAAACTCTAGGAGTAGTCGAACAAAGGAAAGATATTGAGATTTTAGCAGTCAAGTTGAACAAAAGACTTTTTTTAATTTTTAAATTTTAGCATCAAATTGAACAAAAGACTTTTTTTATTATACCTAACATACGGTTTGCTTTGCTTGCACTCGATAAGACTTGATTTTTTCACTTCAAGTTATCTAAAAAAATCACTCCTAGAATCTTTTCTGAATCTGAGTTTACAACCATTTATATAAATTGAGTATCTCTTATTTTTATAGCCATAGTGCATAACTAAACATTTGTCAATATTAAAATTAAGTTACCAATCAGTGTCCAAGCATACGCAAAGTTCAAACCACATTGTAGTTTATTATGTAACTCATCAGAAGGAATAATCGACATAATTTTTGTGTCATCAGCATATAATTTTGAATTATTTTTAGAGACTCAGGAAGATCATTTATATAAAGTATGAAAAGTAGTGGACCTAATATAGATCCTTAAGGAACTCCACTATACACATCAGCCTAAGTTGAGACAAGAAAGATAAAAAAGCTTGAAACCAATGAAGTGCTAAGCCACTTACACCATACACTTCAAAGATAAACTTTTGATGTGATGCAGTATCAAATGCTTTTTTAAAGTCAAGTAAAACTACATCCACAGGAATTCCTTGATCTACATTTCTTGTAATATAATCTAGAGTTTCAAGTAAATTTTTAGTACATGATCCACTTTTAACGAATCCATGCTGTAATATTATTTTCATGAAGATATTTTTCAAACTTATTTTTAATTATGCCTTGTAGTATTTAAAAGTAATACATGGAAATAATATGTCTATAATTTTCAGAATCAGTCTTGTCACCTTTTTTATATAGTACAGTTATATTTGCTGAATTAAATTGATTTGGAAAATTGACTTTTTTCTGACTCCATAAAAATTAGTGTTAGAGTAAGAGCGAAAGCAGTAGCACAGTTTATTAAGATAATAGTATGTTACTTGTTGACTTCGTAGGCTTTGTTTTGATGGCTCGTCGCGTCCATGAGAATACTTTTATAATTACAATTGAAATAACGCGTGACTTTCAACACGTATCTACGTGATTTTCAACATGCACAATTCACCAACATAAAAAAGAGAATACGCCCTCTTGGAATTAACTCATAAGTCTAATCTTTGTGGGGGCTTTGCTGTTCGTCCGGAGCGTGTTACTTGCAGCACATGTTCTTGAGAATCATTTTGAATTTGAATAACATCATCGTGAGATCTTCCTTTGGCGTTATCGTTTTTATCTTTTAGTCTGTAAAAAACATCGTTGACTGATTCATTTGAACTCTGTAGATCTGTACGGCGACGCAGGTGTGAAGTATGACGCGGATATATCCGATTTGCATATTCGACGTCAAACGATAAAGTATTTTGCTTTCGCACTACACCTGGTATCCACGGTTGGTCACATTTTGTTTCTTGAGTTGGCTTTACCTACACCTTGTCTCCCTCTTTGAATTTCGTATTTACGCCTTTCTTGTCTGTTTTCCTCCGAATATCGATACCTGGGATGAAATAAGTTGGTTTTTTCTTGAATTGCTCGGATGGACTTTCAGAACAATTAGATGATTTTGTCTCGTTGTACAGCAAGACTGCCAGAGCGATTGAGCAATGTGAGCGAGCAACTGCTCTTTTTATCGTCCTGTGTATGCGTTCAACTATACCATTACCTTGAGCTCGATGTTCTGCTCGATATTCCAAATTAACATTCCATTCTTCAGCAAAGCTTGTTAACATGTTGGACCAAAATTCGTTGTCCATTAGAAGACATACCGGTGGTCCAAATAAAGAGAATATTTCTTCAAGTTTACCAACAACTTCAGCAGCTGTTTTAGTTACTAGTTTACGCCATATTGTATATCATGATGGACCACAATCAATCATCGATAAGTACAGTTCAGCACCTACATGTCTCACGTCAATGGCAACCCGATTCCAATTTTTTTCTACGCTTAGTTGACCATGCTTCCACTGTACGGAGTAAGGATCGATGGAGTTGCACTGGTTACAATTTGCTATTACTGCTGAAACCTCCTTACGTGATACATACTGGTTATTTCGCAAGCAAAGTTGTAATGTTCGAGCGACACCAAAGTGACCAATCGAATGAATTTTCCAATTGTCTTTTTGTTCAGGTAATCCAACTGCACACACTGTTCTGCACCATTTTTGAGGGATTCGTGAGAGTCGATCAGCCAAATTTATTTCGGATGGAATCCATTGTACTACAATCTGGATACCTTTTGCCACTTCCTTACTAGTATTTAACCGTCTTTGTACTAACAACTGAGAAATTCCAATAGATGTTACGCGATATTCTTCCTTCAAAACTGCGTTTAACCATCCTACGGTGCTCTTGCAATCACTTTATACTGTTAACTCTTTTATGTCCCACTTACTAGCTAAGTTTAGTCCTCGAAGTATCGAATCCACTTCACTTATATTGATATGGTGTGTGTCACTTGCTGGTCGTAGCCATGCTGCGTCTTCAACAACTACTCCACCAATGAGCAGAACTACCCCAAGTCCTATGAATGATGCATCACAATAAAGCTCAGGTTTTCCATTCACTGGTACCAACCATTTTCCACCAACCGGATCCTCCTTTTCCACACGGTGAAGCAAATCCTTCAGTTTTTTTTTACAATCTTCTGAAATAAAATCACACCAAGGTATATTTCCAGCTAAACGTTTGATGTATGAAGCTTGTAAGCGCAAACTTCCTGCCACTGGGTAATGTCCAATGAGTTTACCTAACTTGCTAAAAAGCTGCGATCTTGTGACTGCATTTAAAGGTTCAAATTGTACCACATTGTCTCGTTTCCATATCGGTTCCCCATTTTTATTTCTTTTGACTCTCAATCCTAAGACACGTTCTTGTTCAAGATTTTGTGGAGGTTTACATTGTAACCCGAATTTATGCAGATGCTTCGCTACATTTTCCGCAGTTTTTTATTTACAGTTGGATTTTTCTTTCTTTACAGTTGGATTTAAATTGAGCACATGTCGAAGAATTGTGGTCATTATTGTTGGAGCCACGTTAATGCCAAACACATTCTAGTATATATATATAAAACAATATTGTTTCCCATTTATAATCACCGTTTAATATGGCCAAAGTCTTTTATCAATATGAATTTGGAGGTAGGCTGTTTTAAGATCAAGAATTTTTGCATTTTTAATTTTTCTCCAACATCGCAGTTTTTCTTGACAAACGTCCGCATTTGCTGTATGACAATTTACAAACTTGTTGAGAGCTCGAAAACCTCCCACTGGACGTACCTTTTTGTCCTTATTTTCTTGCACAACGCACATTAGCGGTATCAATACTTTAGGTGGTCCCAACGTTAGTTCGTTATATGGTACAAGAATGCCAGAATTAATCCATTCATTTATTTCTTGCGGTAACTACGTTCGTACTCGTGGCTCATCTTGTATTCACAAATGGTATTATCAATTTCAGGCTCTTTATTCCAGTTCCATGATGCCGTCCACTTTTTCCCATCAAAATTTGCTGCGAAGTCCTCATGTTTTATTTCGTTTTTTTTTGTTTTCTTCATTTGTATTTTTGACATCACATTTTATTTCGTTTATTTCGTTTTTGTATTTTATCGTTGTAACAGCACATTTTTTTTGGTTTCTTTCGTTTTCTTCATTTGTATTTTTGACATCACATTTTATTTTGTTTATTTCGTTTTTGGCACCACATTTCGCTGTGTCACATGCTAACATTCGGACAGTACGGTTTTTATTACCATAAATGACTCCTCCAAATTTTTCATTTGCATTTATTCAAAAAATCAAATCAAACCCGAATGGTTTTTTTTTACAACCAGAGAATTAACATTCCGGTGAATTCTATCAATTTCCAATTTGATTACCGTTTCACCCAGCACATGCACAGCTCCTCCCAAAGTTGTGATAAGTTTTTGACTTTTTAAAACAAGACCATGCGTGGATTTAGCAAGAATCACAGTAATGGAGCATCCAGAATCAATTAATGCTGTTCGGAGCATTCCATTTATTTTCACTTTTAATGATGGCAACGTCATTTCTGGGAGAATACTGGATGCCATTATTTCCAAATTCTCCCTTTTCCTTTTAAACTTTGCAATCGTTTGAAGTAGTCTTTGAAGCTTGATGATCGTTTAAACAAATCTTGCATTTTGCTTTGCAGTCCCGTGCAAAATGTCCAAGTTTACCACAATTGAAACATGTAATTTTGTTCGTGTCGGACACACTAGATGTCCGCGGAAGTAACGATGTTGCCGCAATCATTACATTATCGGAACCATCTAATTGTCGAGCTTTCTGGGTTACTCATTCAAGGGTAACAGCAATTTCCACAGCTTTTGCAAACATTAGTTCTTCAGATTCCAGTAATAATTGTTTGATTGTAATACCATTGTTAAAACCCGTGATGAATTGGTCGCGCATTCGATCATCTTTATCCGTGAATTTGCATCCTTCAGCAGCTCTTGCGATTCGTCGTGAAAATTCCGTCACACTTTCGTTACTTGCTTTTTTTATAGTTGCAAATTCAAAGCGTAATATTAACGATGACTTCGGTTTAAAAAGCTTCATGATATTTTCCTCGATGTCTTCGTAGGTAACTGAGTCATCTTCTGGGTATGCAGGCAAGCATAAATCTTCCAGTGCAGAATAAATCCGTGGTGGCAAACATGTTAATATTATTGTTTTCCTTTTGGATTCGGGTACGCCCATCGCAGTTATGTATGTTCGTAGTTGGCGGACAAACCGCTGATGGTTACCATCGAATACCGGTGGCATAATTGCCGAAATAGCTTGTTGGCTCGTCGCGTCCATGAGAATACTTTTATAATTACAATTGAAATAACGCGTGACTTTCAACACGTATCCAATATGAAGACATTTTTGAAAGGCTAAATAATCTTGATCAAAACATATTCTCTTTTTTATGTTGGTGAATTGTGCATGTTGAAAATCTACGTGATTTTCAACATGCATAATTCACCAACATAAAAAAGAGAATATGTTTTGATCAAGATTATTTAGCCTTTCAAAAATGTCTTCATATTGGATATCTTCAGGAGTTAAACTAAAGGTAGTATCATTGATTCTTGTTTTCAATAATGGAGTACATTTGTTATTTTCTTTGACAAAAACGTTTTGAAAATTTATATTTAGAAGATCAGCAATCTTTTGTGGATCGTGGTGAAAAAAAAAGATCCTGAATTATTTCACCGTTTGGTGGTCGCAGGGCTTTTATATAGTCTCTTACACATTGTTGTGAATTCATACATTTATATAATACTTTAGCTTTCTTTTTAGCTTTTTTCACAATCATTGATTCGTATTTTCGTCTTGCAATGGAAATTTCAAATGACACTCTTTTTGATAATTGTTTATATTGGTTACAAAGATTTGAATTTTTCCATTTACTAGAACAATTTTTGTATCTTAAATTCTGTTTTTCCCTAATGAGTGAGATAAGTTCTTTGTTCAGGTATGGTTTCTTTGATGATGAACTTGAGGTATTTATAGGAACATATAAGTTACACGCTTCTTCAGTATAATGAATTAACTCATCATACATTTCTTGAACATTCTTGGTGTGAAAACACTGAAGCCAATTGACTCTTGTAATCGCCACTTGTAATCGACACTTGTAATCGGCATTTGTAATCGCCACTTGTAAGGAAATTATTAATGCTATTATAGTCTACTTTTCTATATAAATATTTTTTTTCCTCTGTAATTTTATTCATTGTTTTATTTTTAAGAATAAAATCAAAGCACAATATCAAATGACCCCTTGATATGTTTCCGAAAATAAATTTACTATCAACGGCACTTATATTTGTTGACTGAGTAGTGAATATTAAATCTAAAATATTTACAGCAGATTTATTTGTTGTTTGAAATGTTGGTATGTTAACATGCTGATATAAGTAATTGTCATTTATTATTTTATAAAAAACATGCTCAATTTCTGACGATTCTTTGAAATTTGAATTTATTGAACCATTAGACCAACTTATTCCAGGAAAGTTAAAATCACCAACTATGATTAGATCTTTATAACCATTTTGGTTGACATATTCTTTAGCAATTTTGAATACATTTTCAATATCAATCATATCTGTAAAGTCATAAGGTCTACAAATACATCTAATAAGATATTTATTATTGCCGAACTAGATATCAGTCCAGACATGCTCAATTTGACTCCATGGAAATCTGTTATCATTAAGTTCGTACGAAGTAAATTTCGCTGTCAATATAAATACATACACCTCCACCTCGACGACCATCGCATCTATCTTTTTTATATAAACAATAACCATCTAATTTGCGTAGAGAAGTAGGTTTAAACCATGTTTTCGTAATGGTAATTATTTTAGGATTGTAAGTTGCAACTATTAGTTTAAATTCGTCAAATTTATTGTCAAGAGATATGGCATTAAGGTACATGCAATTTAGTTTTTTAATGCTACTCATTGATAAAAGACAATTAGCCTTACTGTCTAACTTCAATTGGTTTCTTTTTAAATTTTTGTATCTGATTTCCACGGATGCCATACCAAAAGGGATCCGTCTCCTTAAGGGCATTATTCAGTTTTACAACTAAAAATTATTTAAAAGGGCATTATTTAAAACTAATTTTTTTTCTACAGACGAAATAGTCTTGTTTTAGAACTTACATTTATCATAATAATTCATAAATTTCTTTATACCAAAGTTTGTAGTTTCATATATACCGATATACATATATACTTATAATATATATATATATATATATATATATATATATATATATATATATATATATATATATATATATATATATATATATATATATATATATATATATATACTCGTAATAGTCTCATTTCATATAAATTTTAACATAAACTCCTTTAATTATTATGAAAACAAAAGTTCGAAAAATTTTGTTAATAGTTTATTCGAAACTTGAACAATACCTTATTAATTATTTAATATCTAATAGTTGTTCAACTGATAAGAATCACGCGCCACTCATCGTCATTAATTGACAACACTTTAACAACCGATTTTTTTATTAAGTAAAAAAAGGAATCATAAAAACCGATGAGTCCAATAATTTCCTTATATTTTGTAAATAAAAAAAGGAAAACACAGAAAGGTTTTAATAAAAAAAACGACTCATCAACAATAATAATTTAAATTCTATCAGAAAAAACAATTATCACTTATAGATTGGGACTATATTAACTCTAAAGTTAATAATGACACAATCTACGACAAATTTTTTTAAAATTTTTTACAAAGTGTATGATTCTAATTTTCCTTTAAGTGATAGTTGTTTACTTTATCTTAAACGACAAAGGAATATTATTTCCTTGGTTTACAAAAGGTCTTTCAAAATCGTCAAAAATTAGGCAGAAGCTATACATTAAATACTTAAAATCGAAATCAGAAAAACAAATACAAAATTATAAAACTTATAAAAACTTATCAAAAAAGCTTCGCAAATGCAAAAAAAAAAGTTACTACTCAAACTTGCTTAATAATTATAAGCATAACTCAAAACGCGTCTTGCAAATCATGAAGAAGGTGTTTGGAAAACTTAAACCAAATACAAATTTGCTCCCAAATTTTATAAAAATCGACAACAAATAAATAAATGATATTGTATTTGAAGTTTTTCACAACAATCGAGATAATATTAAGCAATAGTACATTAAAGATCTGTTGATGACTTTGAAACACCAATAAACTCTAAATTTTACTGAATTAACTTTTAATGCATTTAAAGTTTTGATAAGTTTAAGTTATTAAAAAAAAACCTTGAGAAAAAAGCAATCCAAAAACCCATATTTATTAAAAGCATCATTTAAAGTTTCATATCGACCGGGAAAGTATAACTTTGCTACATCTTTTTCATTTTATAAATTTCTTTTTTATAAACTTGCTAATTCTTTTTTGTTTCAAATGTCTAAAAATCCTTTCTAAATCTACAAGATTAAAAAAGGATTTATAGGTTTTTTTTCGTATTTTGTCTAGAAAACTTGCACCATTTTCTGAAATCAAACTCTATTTTGTTGTGTCTTAATTATTTTGAACTGGGAGGCTGCATAAGCGCGAATCGGCATATGTGCGAACTGGCATAAGTGCGAAGCGTTACAAAAACTGGCATAAGTGTAAACTGGCATACATATGAATTGACATAAGTGCGCCAAAACAATTTGCCAACATTGACATAAGTGCGAACCGGCATAAGTGCGAAGCAGTTGCAAAAACTGGCACAAATGCGAACTGGCATAACTGGGAATTAGCATAAGTGCGCCAAACAAATTTGCAAACATTGACATAAGTGCGAATCGGCATAAGTACGAACTAGCATGAGTGCGAAGCAGTTACAAAAACTGGCATAAGTGCGAAATGGCATAAGTGCGAATTGGCATAAGTGCGAACTGGCATATGTGCGAAGCAATTAAAAAAACTGGCATAAGTGCGAACTGGCATAACTGCGATTTGGCATAAGTGCACCGAATAAAATTTCAAATATTGGCATAAGTGCAAATGAATATTTTGAATCTAATGCCAATTCGCACTGATGCCAGTTCGCACCTATGCCAATGTTTGCAAATTTATTTGGCGCACTTATGCCAATTCGTAGTTATGCCAGTTTGCACTTGTGCCAGTTTTTGTAACTGCTTCGCACTTATTCCAGTTCGCACTTATGCTAATATTTGCAAAATGTTTTGGCGCTCTTGTGTCAATTCGCACATATGCCAGTTCGCACTTATGCCAGTTTTTGCAACGCTTCGCACTTATGCCAGTTCGCACATATGCCAATTCGCGCTTATGCCAGTTCGCGCTTGCGCCATTCACACTTATACCAGTTCGCACTAATTAAATTCGCGCTTATTCGTAATCATATTATGAGTAAGTTCGCGCTTAGTCGTAATCATATTATGAGTAAGTTTTTTGAGTAGAGTCGCTGAGAGGGGGGGGGGCAAAGAAGGCATACGTGCTCCGGGCGCCAAGATAATTGGGGCGCCAAAAATTGATAAAAAGATTTTTTTTCAAATGTCTATTCAATGTTTAACTTTTAATTTCAATATTTTGTGATTTAATATGATATTTTTATAACATAATTTCATTATATAAATTAGAAGTTTAATTAATTTACGGCTTTCATGTTAACGGATTATTATGTTTAGTGCAGTGAGTTTTCTTTTAGAGAGAACTATTTTTGTATATATGCATATATGCATATATACAAATATAGTTCTTATATTATATAATATGAAAATGACGACGTATTACATTTTGGTATATAATCTCAAAAAAACTATTAAAGTACATATTTCAATGTCACTCTATGCATCTCAGGCATCTCAAAAGGCATCACAAATGGCAAATCTGCTTATTTAAAGGTGAAAAGCGAAAAGATAAAAGAAAAAAAGAAAATAATAAATTAAAACATTATTTTAAAGATATAAAAGTTAAAAAAAGTAAAAGCAAAACAAGGTCAAAATATATAAATAAGTAAATGCTAAATCAAGCTAAGTCTTTGATAAATTTTTTAAAATCCTTTGAAACTGTTGTGCTTCTGACCTTTTGATATAAAGTTCTTTAAGTAGTAGATTAAGTAAGCCGTTTGCTCTTGTCAACTTCACTAACAATAGATGAAGTTATTCTAATTCAACAGCTAATAAGCGATCTTGGTCGCATCCATATATATATATATATATATATATATATATATATATATATATATATATATATATATATATATATATATATATATATATATATATATATATATATATATTAAAATTTTAAAAACTGCTAATAACTCATTAGCAGTTTTTAAAATTTTATAAAATTTGAGGCAAATTTGCATAATGTCATCTTGCCCCAGTGACGTGACCAGATGACATTTTTTTAAACTTTTCATATTAATATTTACTTCAAACTGTTAAATTTGCAAACTGAAAATTCATGCAGGCAATGAATCAGTTATTTAACATAAACATACTGAAAAAAATAAAACAAGTATTGGTAAATTTTAATGAATTATATTAACTTTAATAATTTCACAATTTAAGACGAATAATTAAAAAACTAGTTTAAAGAGCAATACTGTCACGAAGAAATCAAGTACAAATTTTGGTCCCAATGTTTCAAATTTTTGTTTGAGTGTTTCAAATTTTGGTCTCAGTGTTGCAAAAACTTATGAAATAAGCAATAAACTTTATTTTAATTTAGGAACTAGATATTGTTAACAAGGTTACCTGTGACAAATGAGAAAAAGATACATTAAGTATAAATTTTATACTTAGTTCATGTGTACTTTTCATGTCTTCACTCCAAACTTAAATTTTTTTTTCAATTTCTAAAAATTTCATAAAATATTAAGATTATTTTCATAAACTCATAAACAGTATTGTAGAGATTTTATTTAATAGTGGGATATTAAAATTGATCCCTCTCCAAGTCAAAAACATCGAAAAATTATTTATTAGGATAAATTTTGAAAATTATACAGAAGGAAGAGAAATTTTAGAAAGTTAGAACAAAATATACATATGCAATGTTGTATCTGATTTATATTATATTGGGAAGAGTGGAGAGAAGCGGAACATTCCGAAAAATCAATCTTATCTAATATAAAAAATGAGATTTCTTCCCCTCTATTTAGTAGACATCGCTTTGTCTTCTTGCGTATGGTAAAAACCACATTTTTGAAACTTACCCCTAAAAAAAACGATTTTTTGAGGGGTGAAGTAGGACAAAGAAAATTATTTGATTCCTATTTCTTCCAGATTTTTTTTAATTATATTGTGGAAACCTTTTAAGTACTTTGAAGAAGATTACTTACAATTTTAGTAGTTTTTAAATAATAATTTTTGTTTGTATGTTGTTAATTATTCGCTTGTTCCACTTCAACTCCATACCTTTCCCACTTTACCCCAACGGAATGGTTCCTCTAAAATCAAACAAATATATGCTTTACTATAACCTGCAGTCAACCTTAGAGGATGGAATCAGTGGTCAAAATGATGCTTCATTTAATTAAAACTTGTTTGGTACAACACATACATTATATAAAAAAGATAATTATTCCAGAAATATATTTGAATGTCGCACTTCTTACGACTCTTCCCTACTAGTAAAACTTTATTTCTTAAATTATTATATAGATTGCTTATATTACCAAAAAAATTATTCGAATGTCAATTTTCTATAAGTTTACAGAAAAAAATTTAAATCTTTAAAAATCTATTTATTATTATTGAAATCTAAAAACAAGTATAATCTTTGTATTGATAACAATCATGTTGCCCCATTTTCCCAAAAAATCAATGACCAAATGTTTTTTGTTTTTTTACTGAGATTTTTTACCGTTAATTAAATTGTAAATTTTTAACTGAAAAAAAGGTATTGATTAGAGACCTTTTTTAATTGGAATTTTTGAAATGTTCCGCTTCTCTCCACTCTTCCCATTATAATTTAAACAAAATATAACATTTTAAATGTTATATTTAAAATGTTATATTTTGTTTAAATTATAATGGGAAGAGTGGAGAATTTTAAAAATTTAGAAAAGTATAGCAAAAATATTTTGTTATACTTTTCTAAAATTTTTGCTCTACCTTCTGTTTACTTTTCAAAATTTATCCTAATAAATAATTTTTCAACGTTTTTGACTTTTTTAGGTCCTGAAGTTCATTTTAAGTGACTTTTCATAATATTTAGTGCATAAAAATATACTGCGTATAAGAACAAAATGAAGATTTTATTTCTTAAGTTCTTTTTATTTCTCTCAAAACGTCTTCTATTAATCGTAAACCGAATCATCCAAAACGTCTTCTTGTTATTTTTATTCAATAAAATTGATAAATTCACCGTTTTTGTTTTTCTTAAAAATAAAATTTCTGTGTCGTTCTTAATAATAAAATTTTTGAGTTGTGCTTAAAAATAAAATTTTTAGGTTGTTCTTAAAACTAAAATTTTTAGGTTGTTCTTAAAACTAAAATTTTTAGGTTGTTCTTAAAAATAAAATTTTAAGGTTGTTCTTAAAACTAAAATTTTTAGGTTGTTCTTAAAACTAAAGTTTTTAGGTTGTTCTTAAAACTAAAATTTTTAGGTTGTTCTAAAAACTAAAATTTTTAGGTTGTTCTAAAAACTAAAATTTTTAGGTTGTTCTTAAAACTAAAATTTTTAGGTTGTTCTTAAAACTAAAATTTTTAGGTTGTTCTTAAAACTAAAATTTTTAGGTTGTTCTGAAAACTAAAATTTTTAGGTTGTTCTAAAAAATAAATGTGCTTGTTTTTAAACTAAAAAAAATTGAGAATTATTTCTTTCTAAAATTATAAAACAATTTAATAAAAAATGTTAGTTGCTATTAGTTTCGTATTTAAGATTTTATAACCTATTATCTCTTTTTTTTCGTTTTTTTTCTGACCTTTTTTTTCTACCGAATTTGGGTAAGGGATTTTTAGCTTTGTGATCAATTGTTTTTTGTAATCCTTTGTAACGTCTATCCCATTGTTCGTTTACTTTTCTAAGTTCTTCAGTGTCTTTGGCATTTAAAACAGACTCTTCTTTAGCATGATCACTGAATTTCAATTCAGGCAAAATTTTCTTACGCAAATTTTTTTCTCGCAGTGCAGCAATAGTCGACGGAGAAGTACCCGATAAAATTAGATATTTCAACAGCTGCTGAACACCCCCTTTTTCTAACACCTTACGTGCTTGTGAACGAGTTAAGCTAGGCTTGAGTAAACCGTGCTTTTTGCTTGCAGATTTCTCTGCTAGCTTAGTTATCTTCAATAAATCTCTTATGTCACCGACATTGAGATCACTTGCTGCCAAAAGGTTAGGTGGATCTTTATCAAGTCTAATTGACGGAAGCAAAACTGTATGATCTTTATCAAATGTTGATTGTAATTTTTGAATATCGGAAGATAAGGTTTTTTCAAGATCGTACTTTTCTTTGTTGCTTAGGTTTTCAAGAGCTGTACGCTCTTTCTTTTCAATGAGTTCTTTTAATTGTCCGGATTTAATTGCTTCTTCGTCATTTCCTTTAATAACAGTGGAAGGGATTGGAAACTTTCTTTCTTCTTCTTCTTTTTTCAAAAGCTGATCAGCAATTTGAAGATCTTTCTCTGCTAAAGACATTTCTGGTTTACTATTGCTAATCGATGGTTCTTCTTCTGGACCAAACAAACTTGGCATTAGTAATCTAAAAAAAAAAATTATTCTGTGTTGTTTACTGATAAAATTTACACAAACGACATCAGGATGTATTTTGTTATATCCAAAAATATCAGAGGATAATATTTTTTCATCTATCTAAAATATCAAGAGTTTAAAACGTCATGATAAAGTGATCTGATTTGATTTTTTTGTTTTTAAACATTCTTACCATTGCAAAATGCTAAACTTTGCATTTAAACTTATATTTATAAAATTTTTGCGTATCGCTAATAAATACCACCAAAAAAACACTAATAAACATAAGATGCGTTCATGTTGAAAGTAGACATGTTCACATTTTATTTAATAATATTTAACAAGTTAAATATACCATTAAAAGTTTTTTAAAATGGTATTAAAAGGTATTAAAAGTTTACTAACTAAATATATATTATCTCTTTTTTTTGTCAAAATTGGAAAAAATATAACTCTAAATAATTTTATTCCTAACTAAATACTATCTGGTACTATCTATTGCAGTTAAAAAAACTACCACAGATAGTACTGGATACTTAAAACATGGATTGTACCGGATACTTAAAGAAAGACAAATTAAAATAAAATAAAACTCGAGTGTCGTCAGACACTCGAGTTTTATTTGCAATTTGTCTTTCTTTATATATAATTTGTCTTTCTTTATATATAAAAGCTTCTTGATTTTTAATAACCAGATTAAAAAGAGGAAGCTAATGTTTTTTATAGAGCCTTATGGTGCATAATTTTTCCATGGCTGAAGGTGAACTATCCTAATAATAGCTATGTGTAACTTACGATGATGCTTCATTTTAAACTACGACAAAAGTGGCCATATTAAATAAAATGTTTTTAGTCGACTTTATGTATATTCGTTAAACTTTAACATTTTATTCAATATGGTCACCTTTGTCGTAGTTTGAGACAAACCATTATCCTGAGTTACACATAGTTATTATTAAGTTTATTAGTTATTATTATGCATATAAAGTTAATTTGATGTCGTTTGGTTGGTGATTAAAAAATAAATTATTGAACATGCTTCGATTTTTTAAGTTTTCTAATTTTAATTCTGCAACGCTTTAACTTAAAAATGGTTTACCTTAAAAGTAAGAAGTAAAAATAAGTATGCTAACACAAATTATTTTGTAAATAAAAACATAAAAAAACCGAACCTTATATCCGAAATGGTTTTACCATGAGTTATTGGTATTGTTACGGGAGTTTCTTTTGAATCTGCTTCAAAAAGTTTTGTGAGAGACTCAATTTCATTTTTAATTCCTAAATCCGTTTTTATAATGTTGCCGAGATCTTCGACATCTTCTCTAAATGGATCATCTGGAGATGGGTTTATAGGTGGGAGTTGCTTTGTATACTCACGAAGGCTATCATCTGCAGCATGATTTACTTGTTGAGGTTGCTTTGAATACTCTTGTAGAATATCGTGTTTGAGTTCAGTTGACGTGGTATAAGGTGTCATTGTTGTTTCAGTAGTTAATACAACGTGAGTTGTTTCAGTTAACGGAATTGCTGTCGTTGTAGAGGTTACCAGATTAAAAGATGTAGGTTTAAATTTTATTGACGTTGTTTTTTCCCATTGTATTGTATTGTTTGCGTAAAAATTTGATGAACTCAATTTATTTTTAGAAGTTGGTGGAGGGTTAGTTGGAGGAGGACCAGCAACGGCTCTATCATTAAAATCCCTTGCCTGACTTAATGATGGAGGTCTTTCAGGATAAATAACCTTTTCGGTGTTTTCAGTATGTTGAAATACCCCCATAGTATTAGACGGTTCATTTTGCAATTTAGCCTCAGATGATTCAGCCTTTAGTTTAGTTTCAGCTGCAGGAAAATTTGTTTGTACTAAGTTATCAAGCATATTACCACCGTTGTAATAAGTAGGCATGTATATACCATTTTCCAACTTGTATAAAATAGTTCCCGGAACAGTCACTTTTTGGTATTTTATTGGAACATAATGTTTCCCATCCCAATATAACAAATCATCTTCTTTATTTTCTGGATCTATTTGTGCATTTGGAGTTAGAGGAACATAAGTTTGTCCATTAATTTCTATTGGTTTTGAAAAAAATTCCGTTTTAAAAGTTGTTGTTTTCATTGTTACAGGAATCAGAGGAAATTGTTGAGTTGTTTCCATATATTTAGGTTGTTGTGTCGGAAAAAATATTATCTTTTCTTTATTTAACATTTGGGAATTAATTGGTTCTTTTGATTTAAATTCTATAGGTGTTGATTCCGTTGATTTAAATTCTATAGGTGTCTTTTCAGCTAAAATTTCAGGTGATCCATTCCAAATATCAAGAATTTTTTGCACCTCCTTGTTTGTCATTATTGCAGGTGTTCTAGTAACATCTGATTCTTCCTTTGCAAGATCTGTTTTTATAATTTCTCCAAGGCGGTCGGTTTGAGTTGGTACAGCTGCTAATTCTGGAAATGTATCTACTGCAACTGGATGAAATTCCGTTTGGATATTTTGTGATTGACTTGGAAGTGAACTTAGTTGGGAATTTTGCGATTGAATTAGGGACAGTTCTTCAGATAAATCAGTGGGCACAAAAGTTGCTCCATTCCAACGGTATCGAGAAGTACTTGATAAACCTCCGCCTTCGTTACTATGCAAATATGATGTTGATGGTTCGTTTTCTGACAAAGGTACAAATGTTGCCCCATTCCAAACGTACTGTCGAGTAGAAGCTTTGTCTGTTTTTAATTTGGACTGATTCATTGGACCGAGACTTTTCCCACTATATAGAAATGGGTTTGGTTTATCTTTAAAATGGTAGTTGTCTTTGTTATTAATACCGGTCATTATCAGTTTTGCCAAATTTAAATCTTCTGTTGCAAGTTTTTTACGAGACGCAAGCTTCGCTCTTCTTAATTGATGATCATCTTTAGTTGATGTTAGAGTCATCATCTTTGACCAAAGAGATGGAGAAGAATGCCTCATTTCTGATCTTTTGTTATTAGTAGAAACCATATGACGTAACAAGCTAAGATCTTTATTGGAAAATACTGGTACAAGAGGAGGCTCATTATTAGCCTCTTTATCATTATCATCCTGTTTTTGTTCAGAATCTTTTATAAAAGATTTGATGTTGTTAAACTGATTAGCTTTTATTTGCTCTGTTTCATAACTTAATTTTTTTAAAGCTGTATGCTTTTTTTTATCTTTTATTGTTGAAGTTTTTTTAGATAAGTTATATGTTTTACGAAGAGTGTGGTTTGCAGCATGATAACTTTTATCTGCGGTCTGATGAGTACTACTTTTATTCGATTCTTTTATGTTATTAATTGTTGTGTTATCTAACTTTGAAATAGTTAGTGTCGTTGGCAACAATGGTGAAGTTTTAGCAACAATACTGCTTTTAATACTTTGTCCTATTTCTCTTAAAGTATCAGTTATGTTACGCAATTCTTGTTCAACACTTAAAGAATCAAGAGTTCGCGTTTGTAAATCAATTACCTGCTTTGTGTTGTTTTTTATAGTTTTAACTGCAAGGTTTTCATTTTTTGTATTTTCTTCATTGAATTGTTGCGTAATAATTGAAATATTTGTGGCTAATGGTGTAATACTGTTGATAGCATGTGTTGTGATATTGTTGAAGGCAGAGGGAATACTTTTTTTATTTAATAAATTTTCTGATATTCCGGTAGAATCTTTGTTGTTGTCTAAAACAATACTTTTTTGGTCAACATTATCTTTTGGTAAACTGTGAACAAAAACTGTTGTTTCGTTTAAACTTTTTCCGTTATCAATATTAGCTACGTTGTCTCTTGTTGTGGTTATTTTTAGGTCTTCAATATCAATCTCTTTTGTACCAAAATTACGTGTTTTGGTTACTTTAGTAATATCAATTTGTCTTTCATTTGTTCTATTATTGATTAGTTTATCAACAGCTTCATAAGATTCATTTTCGTTAAAAGAAGATGACATTGGCACATAACTTTTGTTATCTCTAGTATTTGAAGATTTATTTGAGTTATTTTTTTGTGATGGTGGTTGACTTAACGTATCTGTTTTTTTGCTCGAGGTTTTGCTTGTACTACCATTGTCACTTGGAGTATCATTTAAAACTTCGAACTGTTTTTGGACTTTATTTTTCAAACGATTCTTTGAAGCTACTTTTAAGATATCGTAAGCTGAATCCGTAATATTATTTTTATAAAATTCCGTTTGAGTTTTTTTCTCTCCTTTGATTTGTTTGTCTTCTTCATATGATTTTTCAAGGTCACCTACACTTTTATCGCCATTAACATTTTCTAGGTCCGGTTCTTTTATCTTATTTAAAATGTAAAAAGATTTCGGATTCCAAGTTTGATCTCTATTAGAAAGATATAAGGTGAATTTTTAATTTTTTTTTTACGTAATTTAGGAGAGAGTAGGGTAAAACAAGCCACTAGAGTGAGATTGACCCTATCCTACATTTTACTAGGGTGAGATTGACCCTATCCTACATTTTACTTAGGCAATAGTTATTGAAATCGTTATGGTAAAATATTGTGAGGCAGATTATAAACGTTTAGAAAAACTTTTATTGTTTTTTTTATGTATATTATAGCTTACAATTGCCCTAACTTTTTGACAAAATTTTTCAATCAGAATTTCAAATTAAAAAAAAATTATTAGCCTTTTGACGGTGACTTTTGACGGGATCAAATGTTAGCTGTAATTAAAAAATTACATTTACAATAAATTTTTATTTTACTTTCTGATTTTTTTTTATAAGCTGTGTTATATATATTTTGCTTTAAGTTTGATTAAATATAATAGCTTTGTGTAAAAGTTACATCAAATATAAGAGAAAGTTGCATATTATGAGCGGGTTCCTAAGATGGTATAACCTCTTTCACGGGTAGGCTACTAATTTTTTTGCGAATCTTTTTGGTCGAGTATATTCATACAAGCTCAACGGTTTATTTTAATTACTTGGTTGTATAGTTAATATTCTTTCATTGTTTTATTGTTAAAAATAATTACGATGCCCGTTATGATTTTTTATTATTCAACATTTAGTAATTACTTCAGAACGAAAAAAGATCATCAAAAATTTATTACATCCTCAATATTTTATGCTTATCTAAAGCTAATTCTTTGGCTTACATGAGATAATACATAATGCTATTTAAATTATGATAGTAGTCGGCAAAGTTGCTTAAAATGACATGTTTTTAGACGCTTAAGATAAGATGTGGCATTTTATTAAGGAAAGCACATTTTTTTAAAGTTATTCTCGATGGAGCTTTATTTTGGTATTTCAAAAGTGAAAGTTTTTTCAAAAAATTGTATTGCTGACTTTTTTAGTGATAGGAAAGATTTATTACTGTTTTTTTTTTTTTTTTTATGGTTGAGATAATTACTTTCTACTTTAGTATTGTCCTTAAAGATAAGATTTAACTTAATTTTTTTTTTTTTTTTTTTGGTGAGTTTTTTTTTGTTTGTTATTTTGAATTTTTTTTAATTTCCATTAAAAACGTTCATCTTCAGAAATCGGTTTTCTAAGATGAAATGATTGGGTGTGTTGAAAATAACAAGATTTTTGGTATAAATATTTTCTTTCAATGAACTATTCATTTATATTCTTGGAAAAGAAAGACTAAATTATGATAATCAGCAAACATGTATATACATATTTGATAAACAAGAAGTTTAATGCGATGTGCAACAATTTAGTGTTACTTGAGGCACTTTATAGGTGTGTTGCATAGTGAAATGGTTTCTTTTACATTTTAATGTTAAATGACGTAACTACTTAACGAAATGTTTTGAGTACTAATAGTAAATATACTTTACAACAATCACTTTTATCCTGTCTATGTAATATTTTGTTAAGAGACCCGTTTTATCCCTATTCTCCCCTATGATAGACATAATTTATATAACATATATATATATATATATATATATATATATATATATATATATATATATATATATATATAATACAAATAAAAATCACAAATGTTAAATTAATTTGATCAACTTATCTTACTTTGGAGCTACACAGTCGGGCCATGGTAATGGATAAGAGTCAGGGTAAGTTCCCCATCTTTGTGTAACTGGATTGCAAACATAGGCCCAAGCTTGAGGTCCGTTTGGTACAAACCCAAAATTACACGATGGGGTGCAGTATTTTCCCAAAAGATGATCGCATATCATTCGTCCATTGTTTGGAGGGGGATATTGTGGGCAAGTGAGATGTGAATCTAAAACGGTCAAAAAATTTGAAATATAAATTTTTCAATTTTTCTTAATATTAACATTAAATTTTATTTTTATTAGTTTCGAATGAATATTATACCTATTTTTTAGATTTATGATAAGTTTGAGTTAAAAAATTTAATAAATATTTACCAAAAAATGCTGCAGTTGAAGCAAAAGCGAGGAAATAAAATATCTTCATGTGCTTATACCACGTAAAATGTCTTTAAAATGTGAGGCGTCTGTAGAAGTAACCATTTGATGGACACTTTTTTTTGAACAAACTGCAATTTAACCAAACTTTAAACCAATTCTTAAAAATAATAAATTTATGTTAAAGCATAAAATGTAAGCTAACCATAAATGATTTTGAATAAAAGTATTTTGACCCCCTTTTTTCAATATCAAGCGATATGATCTTGTCCTTCAGCTTTTTAATATGACATTTAAAACATGGTTTTATTTTTTATTAATAATTTGTTTTTAATAATTTATTATATTATAATTTGTTTCCATCATTTTTTTTTTTTTTTTTTTTTTTTTTCAATTTTATTTCAGTACATTTTTTAGATATTTAAACATTAGGATAAAATTAATTTTTGCCCTCTAAATATCAAAAATTGAAAGACATTGTTTTATCCAAGAAGTGATGTCATTTTCACATCGTCAATTTTCAGTTTTGAATTTTGAACTACTGAAAACTTTTTTTTTAATATAAAAGTAACTACTAATCTAACTATTGTCTATATCTATATATATCTAGTCAAATAACTACCAACTATAAATATCTAGTCAAATAACTACCAAGTCTATTAATTAATTATATTGAGACATTTTCTGGATAAAATCAATAGAAAATTTAAAGAAAAGTTTTCAGTTAGTCGAGGTTTTTACTCAACGCAAAAGCTTCTTTTATCTTCTTCTATCTTCTTCTTCATAAAGATCTTTATCTTCATGATAGAAAAGGAAAAGAGAAGAAGCTAGTTGAGAAGAAGGTAATAATACCAAAATTAGATTTACAAATTTTTTGTTTACTGATGGTTACTTTTTTTTAAAACAGTTCAACAGGTTACTGAAGCATCTGCTTTCGTTTAATGTTTTTAAATAAGAGATGGCTTTGTAAAAGCAAAGATGACAATTAAGAGACGGATTTGAATAAATATTAAAAAATAAAATAAATAAAAGCTTTAAACAAGACATTTTTATTTCAAGGATAAAAATGCAACTTTATATAATGAAAATGTCAAATAATAAATTAATTTTTTAAACTATTATTTTTGACGGTAATATCTTCATCCTTTTTAAGTGTCTCAATATAATTTTTTTTTCTTTAATTAAGACACAAAAGTAATTAGTTCGAAAAAATTAGTTAACACGCAAATGTCACCATCATATATTTTAAATGATAAAATAGGGCCGATGAGACGGTTTTTTAAAATAAGGCAGCATAAATTATTACTTTTTCTAAACAGAACTTTTCAACACTCAGTGGGCAATGGACTTAAAAAGGACGTCTTTTATACGTTTTGAACATCTTTTTAACGTATTTTTTCGGACCCGTGCCAGACCAAAAAAACTTTTTCCTGTGATATTTCCAAGTAAATGTTTTGAAATATTTATTTATAAAACTATTTATTGTGATAATTAAAACTTTTAAAAAATTATACACATTGTAGAAAAGATATTTGCAATATAATTTTATAAAGATGGCGGCACTTGTCGTTATCCCCCTTCCCGGGATCATTGGCTCTGCTGTATGTGATATATATACATAGCTAAAAAAAACTTTAATAGATATTCAGTGGAGCTATATTGGCACGTCTAGTTATCCGACGAAAATTTAATCATTGATAACTTAGTGTTTTGTTAAGCACATGCTTCGTTAACCGTTACAATTGCTATTCAACGTTGGTATTTCAGAGGAAAACTAAGAATATGCAGATGCTGAAAAAATGTTTTATTACTATTAACCATAGCAACAATTGGTTGGCATCTACTTATGGAGTTGTTAAAAGTAAACTATATATTTGAAGAAAAGTTACTTAAAATACTCCGCTGGATATGACTGTTTAGGCCTATACAGTTATATTCAGTAAAATATTTTAAGTAAGTTTTCTTCATATACATTCTATTTAATAAAATTTTAAAATCCAATATTTAGTAGACCTATAGGTCTACTGGATTTAAAAATTTTGTTAGATTCTGAATTATACATTTGTTATTATTATTGATTATTTTAAGGTTTATTTAATCTGTAGTTTCACGACCAAATGAACCAATCCTTTACCAAGTTGTGAAATGTTAAATAAGTTTTTGACTACTGCTAATAATGTTTTTTATAATTCTCTTATTTAATTTTTCTTTATTTTTTTAACTTTTGAAAGGTAATTAAGACAAGAACCATTAAATAAGAGACTTCTTACCTGCAATTTCTCCTTCTAATTGCACGCAAGCCGCGGCTGGATACAAGCAACTTGTTTTTAAAGCGCGACTTATGCGCCTAAACAATAGGTATTTTTCTTACCTGGGTATTGAAGAAAAAATTTAAAACAACTGACAAACATATTTCATATTCTTTTTTTTTTTAACATTATTTCTTTTTAATATTTTTTCCTCTTCTTTTTTTGATGTTTGTTTTTTTACAAAGTTCTCAAGTTCTACTTTGTTTGTTTTGAAAGATTGAAACTTTTTGGTTGGCGTGTTGCATTCAAAACTATCGAACCGTGATAAACAGGTTTACTTGGTTACTTGAGGGCAGAGAAAGAAAAACAAGAACAATTATGTAATTTCTTTATACCTATTAAAAATAAAACAAGACTGTGTTCATTACTTTGTATTTTTATTTCAAACTTCTAATTCATAATTTTATTTCAAAACACAATTTTAGAAGAAAACCAGCTTAAAAACTTTTCATTTTGTTTTAATGTTTATAACAATTTTTTTGTCATTTAATGATCGCACATGGAACGCCTCGAACATTTAATGGTCGAGCTTATAACTTACATTTAATGATCGCGCTTAGAATGATTTATTGTAATTTTTAAATTGTGTTTAATGACAATCAAAGTATAAAAATGTTAAAGAAACATAAACAAAGAACACACTCAACACGAATATAAACAGAAAATGTAAATACACTTTCGGTTTATATTTGGTACATATACAAAAAAATTAAAAAAATTTGAGCACAATCTTTGCGAGTAGTGTAAGTTCATTATTATATATACAGTGTGTTTTCACTTTTGATTTAAAATATTCAAGAATTAACTGGAATGTTTGTTTTGCACTTTGCGCCGAATGGAAATATTATTTATGTCAAAGTTTTTTAAAAACTTTTTCAAAGTGTTTATTCGCACTTTTTTTACGTGCAAGAAGGCTATACTTACTTTTTTTTCTTGAAAGATAACTTCGTTCTTATCAAGGTAATTAAGTGTACTTTTCACTGTGTTTTCCAGTTAGTTTCTTATCCAGTCTTTTAACAAACTTATGACATTCTGTACCCATTCTTCCGTTTTTACTTAATACTAGAGGTGTCATACTAACAAGTTTAACTTCACGAACTCGTTCACCATTTTTTTTTTTTTTTTTTTTTTTTTTTTCATGTTTTTTGAATATAGATTTTTGTTAGATGTGTAATTGACATGCGTAGCTCTTACTTTAAAAAATGCAGTCTATTAAAAATAGAAAATATTATTTTTAATGCTTTTAGAAAATAATATTTTACTTTAATATTAACTAAAAATATTTATAATAGGGTAGAGCGGGGCTAGTTGAGCATAGGGGTAATTTGGGCAGTTAAAATATCTAAAATCTATGCATCACATGACAAAGCATCTATAGGATGAAGGTAGGGGATTAGAATGTTAACACAATTTGCAATAAAATATTGTTGGAAAGCAGTTGAGTTAGTTACACGGGCACTATTTTTGATCAAAAAGTAAAAAATAAAACTTTTTTTTGCCATTTTTTGCTTAGATACTTTTAATCTGATGTCAGATAAAAATTTTTTATCTGACATCACTAAAGTGTTGATATTTTAACAATTTATCGGACTTTCTATTTCAAACACAATTGTGTTTGAAATTTAAGTTTTATATATTAAGTTGCTCAACTTTTGTTTCTTTAAAGAAACAACTTTGACAAAAAATAATTTAAGATTATTTATATATATTTTTAAAATTAGTAATTTTTAAATTTGTCTTCAAAGCTCAAGGTAATTGTATAAAATAATATTTTTATATTTTATGATGCTTTCTTACTATATAATTTTTTTCTTCTCATATTTACGTCATTAAAGTGAATAAAATAAAAAGTTTATAAACTAAGCACATGCTAACTGTTAGTGAAAGTTCTATTGATGATTCACGCAAATTCTGTACCATGTATTTTAATTAATTAGTTGATAGCTCAACCTACCCTACACTATTGCTCAACTCACCCAGCTTGGGCAGTTTGAGCAGATACGCAAACTTTAGGCATTACCTTTTTAAAAAAATCAAAAAGTATACTTTTTTTTCTTAACAAATTTTAAGCCGGTTAAATTAACTTTCAAATAGAGAAAAAATTATGTAAATCCGAAGTACCGTTCATGAGATTTGTTAGATTTAGTAAAAATTGCTCAACTAGCCCCGCTCTATAGAGAGTAGGGTATACCCTACTATTTAAAATAAAATTGTAATGAACTTTGTTTTTAATAGGGTGGTTTTGATTCTTAGGAAGTTTGTCAATCAAATGGTTGAATTTTTTTCGTAGCTAACTCGTATAAAAATTGTCTATAGTTTTTTTTTGTTTTTTTTTTGTTCTTTGTTACATTTTAAACAACATTCCGTTATAAATATACAAATTAAAAAATAAAATATAGAAGTTACAAGAATATAACAAAAAAAAAAATTGTAAATAAGAAATAAAAGAACGCGGGTCTCGACGACAAGACCGTAAGGTCTTGTCGTCGAGAACCGCTACAATGAACGTGATACAAACAAATTAAAAATATTCAGAAAACCCGTTATAAATATAAAGATCAGTTATATAAATACTATATAAGTTAATAAACATATAAATTGTCGTATATATTGATACATATTCTTGGTAAATATATAAATTATAAAATAATAATAGTTCTTTGTTAAGTGGAGGTAAAATGGGAAAACTATTAAAAATTATTAAAACTAAATTGATAGATCGTCAATTGTAAAAATTAATTCTTTTAACTTTCGTTTAAAAGAGTTGTAGTTACATTGTTGGATAAAATTTTGAGAAAAGTTTTTGAAGACAATTTTGTTCCATAAGAATGATCCGCAATTTTGTTCCATAAGAATGGTCCGTTTTCTAAATAAATGTCTCGTGTTTTAACATTTTAGTAATTGTAAGCAGAACCACTGAATCTTCTTCATTAAAATCAATGGTCTTTTCAATATTCAAAATTGGTCCTTTATTACTTTATTTTTTACTTTTGTTGTGAACTTCTTTAAAAAATGTATTAATAGAAAAATTTATTCTGCAGAAGCCCTTTTTTGGGAAAATATTGTGAGTCTTAAAATTGGTGATTGGTGAGTCATAAAATCTAATTGGTGAGACACAAAATGTTCCTCTTTGTCCTTTCTTCGTGAAATAATTTTGTAGATTGTTAGTTTACTTTTTCGCGAACAGGTTGATTATTAAAAATAAAATATTCATATAGGCGGTTTTTAGACAATAATTGTCGACATTCTATTAGAATTACTCTTCCAATAAAAAAGTTCTTTCTATTGGAATAAATATTAACAAAAAGAGAATTATTAGTTATGTTTTTACGTTCTAAAATATCAAAAGTTTCCAGAAAAATATTTTTTATTCCATTTTTATCAATTATAAATAAACTAACTATAGTAACAAAAGGTAGAGCGCTTCTTGCATAACTTTGTCGATTCAGGATTGCGTGGAATCTTTTATTCCCTCTCTAAGATTCCAGGTCAAGCCTCACTATTCTCCAGATATTCTCACATCTTAGGAGGCATTGTGCGCTGATAATACTACCATTTATTTTTGTCATGATAAGGAGCCAACAATCTCTGATTGCTTGAAGGGGGCATTTAAACTTGAAAAAGTGGCTGGTGAACCTTAATTCAGATAAAACTCAATTTTTTTCAGCCAATTGTTATTGTAATAATTTAGATATTCCTATATTTATGAACGGTAATGTACTCGATGAGTCATCTACCTTTCACTTTTTAGGATTAACTATTACTTCCGATCTTTCTTGAAAACCATATATCAAATCCGTTGCAAAATTAGCATCTGCTGCGGTTGCATCTCTTTATTAAGCTTGACACTTTTTTACTCCGGATTCTATTCTCTATCTCTATAAGTCTCAAATCTGGCCTTTTGTGGAATACTGATGCCATATCTGGGGTGGATCTTCTAATGATGCCCTTTCTCTTTTAGACAACGTGAAAAAACGCTTTGTAAACATAATTGGACCTGCTTTTACATAAACCTCCAACCATTATCATATCTTCCTAATGCTGTTTCTCTTTCTCTTTTCTACAAATACTATAATGGGAACTGCTCTGACAAGTAACACGAGAATGAATTTAAGTAGACAGCACTCACTCTCTTGTGCTGTCTACTTAAATTCATTCTCGTGTTACTTGTCATTCAATTAAGTCTCATCCTTTTTCTGTCACTGTTCCTAAGTGCTCCAAAAACTCTTATTCCTCTAGTTTTTTTCCTGAAACATCAGTTCTTTGGAATACGCTTCCTTCATCTTGCTTTCCTAATTCATATAATTTGCAATCTTTTAAACCGTCAGGCAAACGTTATCTTGCTCTACAATCTTCATCTTTTCTTTTCCAGTAACTTCCAAATCTAATTAGTGGTTGCTTGCAGCCTTGTTGGAAGCGATGTTAAAAAAAAACTGTAAAATATCAGAGTACTATCAGTACCATGTTGTGCATGAATGGTATCTCTGTTCGTACTTTCGGCGTGCATTGTCAAGGCTTTATTTGGAGCTCTTTGTTAAGGCCTAGGGTTTATTAATAGTAATGAGTCATTTTATAGGACTATTACATAGTGTACTAAGAACTATCTATCTTTTGAGTCAAATTCTTTAACAAATTTTAAAATTTGTTAAAAAAAATTTAAAAATTACTCAAAAATTTTAAAATCTTTAGAAATTACTAAAAAACCAAAAACTATAAAACTCAAAAAAACCATTGTCATTACCAAGTTCTCTAAATCTATCATTCATTAATATATGTGGTCTTTGAAGTAACTTTTCTTTTGTTGAGTCTTGACTCTTGCTTCATCTTGCTAGACCTACTTGGTTTTTGTCAGACTAATTTGAGTTGGCGACTTTAATACTCATCTCACAGAATGGCTAGGTTCTAGTGACGAAAATATGAAAAAAATAAAATCTATTGATATATTTAAAAGAGCTATAAAAAAACACTTACTAAATTTAAACAATACGTACATTCTTTCATTTTTTTAATTAAAAAAAAACATATATATATGTATTTTGCGTGTGTATGTATGTATATATGTATGTGTGTGTATATGTATATATGTATGTATGTGTATATGTATATATGTGTATATGTATATGTGTATATGTATATATATATGTGTGTATATATATGTATATATATGTGTGTGTG